TTCTTCTAAATACCATAAAGTATTGGTATAAACTGCCCAATCTCTTTTCATAAGACAAAACTCTCACATCTGGAATCAATCCAGTGAACCTCTTCTGAACTGCCTCCAGTACAACTACATCCCTCCTCAATTAAGGGAACCAAAACTGTATGCAATATTCCAGGTCTGGTCACATTAATGCCTTGTACAGTAGCAGCAACACTTCCCTACTTTTGTACTCAATTTCTTGAACAATAAATGCCAAAATTCCATTTGCCCTCCTTATTACCTGCCATACCTGCATACTAGTTTTCTGTGAGAGGACACTCAGATCCCTGAAAACTGAAGCACTCTGAAGTTTCTCTCCATTTAAATACTATTCCTCAAACCAAAATGGATAACCTCACACTTATTCAAGTTAAACTGCATTGGCCCATTCACATAACCTATCCATATCTGTTTGTAAATTTCTTGTTTCTTCTTTGCAACTTACTTTGTTAGTATCTTAGTATCTCTGCAGATTTGACTATAGTACTTTCAATCCCTACATCCAAGTCATTAATATAGGTTGTAAATTGTTGAGGCCCAAGGACCGAACCCTGTGGCACCCACTGGTTACGTTTTGGTAGCCAGATAAAGACTCTGATTTTTGTTGGTTAGCCAATCCTCTATCCAAGATAATGAATTACCCCTAATCTTGTGTGACTTGACTTGCTGTATTAACCATGTTGTTGCACTTTATCAAGTGCTTTCAAATACTCAGAAAAGTTCCCACCATCCCAGCTTTAAATGGGAGACCTTTTATTCTTAAACCGTGCCTCCTAGTTCTAGTATCCCCACAAGAGGAAGTACCTTACAAACATCAACCCTGAAAAGTCCCCTTAGGTTCTTAAGTGATTTCATTATCCCAAGACTATATGTTCTACTTTCACGATCCCAGAATTAGCGTAACGACATCAACATACTGCGACAGCTGGAAAATTTGAGACAATCACACAGAATGCTCAGCAAGTCCGGCAGCATCTTCTTCTGAAGAAAAGTCGCTGGACTCGAAACGTTAACTTTGTTTCTCTCCACAGATGCTGCCCGACCTGCTGAGTTTCTCCAGAAGTAAAGTGGCCGCCATCCCGGCCTCTTACACCCTCAGCCCGGAACCTGGCTATCGAGAGCCTGGACTGCCCAAGTTTCCCCTTTTCTCCATCCACCTCCTGGGTCGGATTCAGGCCCCGTCTCCTCCTGCGGACCGGCCCCGCCCGCCATAGCCGCCACCACCAATAGGAGCAGCCGCAAGCGCGCCGCCATCTTTAAAAAGCCGGATGCTGTAACCTGGCAACCAGGGACCAGTGCGCATGCGCGTAGTCTAGCTGTCAGTCACCCAGCAAAAGGCCGAGGCTGAGGCGCGGGTTGTAGATGGGAAGGTTTACAGACAAGCAGCTTGAATCCAGCCACCCCATCAAGGCTGCCTCCTAGCTGGACTTGCACAGCAAGAGTCTGTGGTTGTCGCAGGGAAACGTGCAGACTGCTCAATTCGTGGGAAAAAGTTTTAAGGCACCATGGTAACTGGAGAAGAACCGGGAAACACAAGTCCCAGTGTTTCAACAGCCTGGAATGTAGCAAGAGCTTCAATCAACCTTAAAGCTCATGGTAGCAAAAGGCCATAAACCTGCTGAGATTATGTGATTCCGCGTGGTCCAACCTATCGAAACGCCAGTGGATTCACGCAGGAGAGAAACTATTCATTAGCTTCACGTGTAGGAGGAGATTCCCTTTTGAATCTAACTTGAGGGCACACTAATGCCTTCAAACCTGAAGCCAAATAAAATGTGTATTCATTGATATTTGAGTTTTCTATATTCTTACATGTCCTTCCATGGGAATTGAATGTGTCACTCAGTATCTCTTTACAATATCTGGAGAGTACCACATCTGAAGAACATCCAGTTATTCCTTGTGTGCAGGTCTGCAGGAATGTCACCACTTCCTCGTCAGAAAATTGTTTTTAACATCATAGCAGTCTGGAATGCCTTCAGTGTTCCTTCAATGTGGACCGATCGTGTTAACTGCTTAAATCTGTACTTGTTTTATGGGCCTCAATTAAAGAAAACATACCGAACACTTCTTTTGAGTAATTTTTTTTGTTAAAGAACGTTTTGCCTACTCTAACATCTGCTTGTGATATTATTTTGACTTCTAGTGAAGGCCTTTGTCTGACCATTGTTCCGCTTAGCACAAAAGTTAGAAAATGTTAGAAAACCTGGAACTTGTTCCTGAAACTGATGTCTCTATAGCCTTACTCGGACTTCTTTTGATCAAAGATTAAGCTATAATTTTCACACCAGCCAAATCATTAAGTGACAAGTTTTGTTTCATCTTGTTGCACATTTTGTTGTAGCCACAGTTCCTCCAATGCAACAGTCGTTACATTCTGAAAATACTTAATTAGATTTACAAAATATATAATGTGAATTAAATTTCAAGACTACAATTAAGTTATTGAAAAAAGCAATTGGAAATTCTTAATTTTCCCATAAAGCGAGGTACTGAATGGCGCATAAAATAAGCAGACACTGTAATTATGTTTGTTGAGGTAGCTTTACAGATTCTGATTAAATCACCTGATTATATGAACTTACACGAGTCATAGAAGTCCACAGCACAGAAAGATATCCTTTAGCTGGTCAGAAGCAACCACCTAACTATTCTAATTCTATTTTCCAGCACTTATCCTATAGCCTTGTATGCCTTGACATTGCAAGTGCACGTCTAAATATTTGTTAAACGTATGGTGGGTTTCTGCCTCTACCATCCTTATAGGCAGTAAGTTCCAGATTCCCACCATTCTCTGAGTGAAAAGATTTTTTTCTCCCATCCCCTCTAAACTTCCGGATCCTTATTGATCCCTCCACCAACAGGTAAAGTCCTTCTTGTCCACTCAATGCCCCTCATAACTTCATATATCTCATCATGTCCCCTTTTGGTCTCCTCTGCTCCAAGGAAAACAATCCCAGTCTATCTAATCTCTTTTCATGACTGGCAACACCCCAGTAAATGTCCTCAGCATTCTTTCCAGTGCAATCACATATAATGTGGATTCCTCCTATAATATGGATTCCAGAACTGCACACAAAATCAATTAGAAAGTTGGGCAGAGAAATGGCAGATGGAGTCTTATCCACTCAAGTGTGAGGTGATGCAATTTGGGCAGTCAAAAGCAAGAGGGAAGTAAACCATAAATGGCAGGACCCTTCGGAACATTGACATACGAAGGTATCTTGGGGTGCAAGTCCATAGCTCTCTGAAGGTGGCAGGACAAATGGATAAGGTGGTAAAGGCAGCACACGGCATGCTTGCCTACATCATTGAGTAGAAAAGTTGGCAAGTCATGTTGCAGCTGTATGAAACTTTAGTTAGCCATGAAGTATTGTGTGCAATTCTGGTCGCCACAATATTGGAAGGATGTGAAAGCTTTGAAAAAGGTGCAGATGTTAGGATATTGCCTGGATTGGAGTGAATTAGGTCTAGAGGTTGAACAAACTTTGATTGTTTTTCCTAGAGCATCAGACGCTGAGGTGCCAGCTGATAGAAGTATATAAAATTATGAGAAGCATGGATCGGTTGGATAGTCAGAATCCTTTTCCTCGGGTGGAAACGTCAAAGACTAAGGAGCATAGGTTTAAGGTGAGGGGGAATGTTTGAAGGAGATGTGCTTCGTATATAAACTAATTCCAGCTGCCTGAACATGGTCCATATCCTTTGATTCCCTGCCTGTTTGTGTTTCTATCCAAATGCCTCTTAAATGTTGCTATCGTATCTGCTTCTACCACTTCCCCTGGCAGTGCACTCCAGGCTCCTACCACCCCTCTGAGTGAAAAAACATTCCTCACACATCTTTTAACTTTTCCCCTCTCACCTTAAACCTATGCTCCCTAGAATTTGACATCTTCCAGCTTTATGCACAAATTCCACCGTGACCCTTAATGGACCCTACACTTTCCATAGCTTTCATTTTATCTTTAATGTATTGTAAAACATTTTAGGATTTTCCTTTATTTTACCTGTGGTCATCATTTCATGCACCTTTTCTACTCTGCATATTTCCTTTTTAATCCCCCCCCTCCCCCACACATTCTGCACTCCTCTAGGGCTTCTGCTGTTTTAGCTTATTTTGTACTGAGCAAAGTTCTCTCTCAAATGTACCATTCAGAACACATAATCACAACTGTTGTTAGGTAGCAACATTCAATTATGGCAGTGCCTTCTGCAAGGTTTCCAACAGATCACTCTGGTTACTGAAATGGAGTTCCAAGAACACACTGAATTGGAGAAAGAGGGAAAATTAGGTACACCTGCTGTTAACTGTGCTGCTCAAGGAAGTTGAACTACTCAGGTTTTGTGTAAAGAGAACTTCTACAGCATTTGAACAGCTTTGGGTAGTAAACACTCAGTGTGAAAGGCTCAAAATAAGTCGATGCACAATTAATAACTCAGTATCGGGGGTGAAAGATCACAGCTTGATTTGTGCCTGTGAATAAGTACTCGAGTGTGGTTTTTAGAGTGCAGACAAACATGGACCCAGGATAGGAGGGTGATCAACTAAAACAGGAGCAGTCATTGAGGCAGTCCATGACAAAGCAACACTTGAGACAGTGCATCAACGCCAGATCAGCCAAAGTGAAGATTTGTAATCCCTTGTGAAATTTAAGAACTCACCATGTCATTAACGCCTGGGGGAAAAATTACTGAGAAATGTGTGATCATACTGGCTATTTGATACACACTGTGAGGTATTTCATCACATTTACTACATGTTAATTTTGGGTATTAAAAACAAGTTGCATACGTATTGTGGATTATATTGCTGTTCTAACCTGTAAATGTTGTTGTTTGCACAAGACTGTGGAATCTTGTGGCTTTCTTCACTTAGTAAGTCCCCAGGGTCTTTTGTTAAGTTTAAAAGAATAAAGAATAAAGGGTACAGGTCCTGAACCAGATCATAACATAATTTGGTGCTCTCATTCAAGTTCATAACAAATATAAAGGACTTTATTAAGAGAGTTTCAAAGTGAAAAACTGATTACAGTAAAAGGCTTTAAAAGATTAAAAGTTGTAAAAGATTACAATATGAGGCTTCAGCTAGCAAGCAGAACATTGCACAGTGATCAATGGTTGGAACATGCAGCATTCAGGTTACAATTTCAGACAAAGACAGAAAGTTACAGGCTAAACTGATACATCAAATGCAGATACTCCCTGTTGATCATACTTTTTTTTTTACAGCAAGTCACAACTGAGCAAATCTCTAGTTAAGATGACAAGATATCTGTCCCATCCTCTCAGCTGGGAATACTGGGACTAAACAGAAGGCATTGACTCTCCCACAGTTGCTGACAACATGATTGCTGAAATCGCTCTAGTCAAGAATGTAATCTCCCATATTTCATTTTGGAATTTTCCATTTTTCGCCATAAGCTACTATTTTCCTCAATGGTGCAGCCAAATCAGGGTTTGTGCACAGAGATGCTCATTGTCCATTTGCTATTGCGACACTGCATTCCCAGTCATACTATTCACCAGTAATTACCTCCTTCTTTCATCTGTTTCAATTTATTCAACCAGTGATTTTTCATTGACACCAAACATTAAAACAATATTTTAAAAGATACACTAGAAAGTTATTAATAACTCTTTTCTCCTCAGCTATCAACTGATGTTTGCTGCTTACTAACTGCAAATGGCATGTGTTTGCAGCACAGAAGGTTTAATATCTGTCATTCTCTGTTAAAGTGGATGCACAGACAGAGCACTCTCTCAAATACACAGCCATGCTCAGTATACAGACAAACGGGAACACAATCAATTTCACTTGATGAAATCTTCAATTCCAGCTGTCTTATCAGTTCAAGAAAGGCTTGGCACAATTAGCAATCAAGCAACTCCATGGAGTTTGCTCAACAAAACACTATCTTTACTGTATCCCACAGATAAATATGTAAACAGGGTTTCCGTCATTCTGCCATGGCTGATTGAGGTGAATACAACTTAGAAAATGCAGAATGAGTGATAAACTCTGATTCATGGACAGGTTGAACTTTAACACCTCTCTCAGGCTTGCTGTCTTGTACAACTGTTCTATTTTTCCTCCAATATTTACAATTCTTTTTGCTTTAAACAGGACTGATTTGTACAGCCAGGATCTGACATGCTGGTAACGCACATTGTTTGCCACTACCCCAACCCGCCTTTCTTGGACTTTCAATGGTCACTACATGCACACATCCCCAAACCAGACTTTACAATTAAAACAGATTAAAAATCCATTGGGGTGCAACAAAGGTCAAGTACTGAATGGAAACACGTATACGTCCAGAGGCATTAGACGTTAATAGGATGTTGAATAAGGACAGTCTAGTCTCAGTCTCTGAAACTGGTAGGCTGTCAAATGGGTAAGGTTTAGCAGTTCATCGGATCTGGTACCTCCAGCCACTCGAGATGCAGCAGGATTCTGAAACATAAGCATAAAACACAAATGTTGGTTCAACCACTTCTTTACAGAAAATATAGAACAACAATATTTGCCAGTACAAGTAATGCTTTGTATTCACATTTCCCTGCTCACTATGTTTCCTAATTACGTTCATCCAATTCCCTTCTAAATGTATTGAAAGACGTAGCTTCAATCAACAATTCTACTCCTGAGTAACGAAATTCACATGAGTAAAAGGTATTGTTCTCTACCTGGGGATAAATCTACCTGGAGTTTTAAAGATTAAGAAGAGGGCTGAAAAAGTTAATCTGAGCAAATAGCTCATTGAAGGGTTTTAAATGTGACGGGACACAACATAAAGAGGCAGAACCAGAGGAAGATCACTCTCTTTCACATAAAGGGCTTTTGAATTGTAAATCAATGTCATTTAAAAAAAGTCATTAAAAGAGGCAGATCAAGGAATTCAAACAGGTAAGCCGTAGAGGTAGGTATGCAGAATTGAGATCTGTTAATAGTACCAGATGTTTAAGGCAGGAACAATGCCTGCAGTATCTATCCAGCAGAAGTTATATATAGAGGCAAAACCCTGAGGAGATCTTTCTGCACAAAGGCTGAATAATATTTGATGTCTCCCAACATCTTTGTTGACTGGCATTATTCAGTGACAGATCACCAATGCTAAGCACTACCAATAACAGACTTCAGTTTTACAGGATCCTACCGGGTTGGACGGGTTAAGGGCCAATGGAGAGGAAATCTTTTCGGCCTCCACCGTGCTGCGCATGTCCAGGGTGTTCGCAATAGGAGTTGTTGAGGGCATGACATTCCTCCAGCCCAAGAGACAGTGCTGTAAGAGTCAACACAGTCCAAGATCAGACTCTCAACAATACAATCATCTACATGTTGACAACATACAAGAGGCTACCAGATGCCCATGTATATACTCCTTCCTCAATCACAAATTGGCTGTGCCTTCTCTTCTGAATTCTGATCAGTGTAGCTCCATACTGCTAAATCACACAGATTCTTGATACCATGTACCACTTTTGATTTGACAGTCCTTTATGCTCATTACACGGTAAACGTCAAATATTTTTAGTGCACTTAAACCACTTATATTCACAGATTAAACACTAAACAATATAAATATTCCAGATGTTTAAAAACACCCACATTAATAGTGCTAATAAAGCTTTGCGGAAATCTGGCTTTCCAAACATGACTGACATGGAATCAGTATTCAGCACACTCCAGGCTTATAGCCTAAGTATATTTGATATCTCTCCAGGCATAGAACAGTACTATTAGAAATGCTAATAATTATGTGGACTCCCAACCTAATACTGGAATTCCTGGATTATCTAGAAAGAGAATTATCTAGGGGATACATTTGAATAAGTTATGAAAACTATATGGATGGATAAGTTCTAAAATGTTTATTTTCCTTTGTTTCCTCTTCCACCTTTGCTCCAGTTTAGGCTTCTTGCTGTATCCATTTTGTTTTTCATTTTCTCCATTCCTGTTACTCTTTCTCTTCCTTCACAAAATTTTCCCATAATCTTTTTTGTTCTGATCCCGCTCTGCAGTTTGTTTTTAAAGCACTTCTCTTTTGCTCCTGCAGAACTACAGCACAGTAACAATGCAGGTCCAAGAACAAATCATCATAGGACTGAATGTCATTTGTACAGTTTGTAATGTAACTACATCTGTAGCAAATCAATCATACAAGCTGATTGCTGAGGTGTAGTTTGACAAGAATGAGGCTCAGTCAACCAGGAGCAAGCTCAGCTTCTGACTTTATTACAGTCAAACAAGTTCAAAAATAGACAAAAGAGGTGAGGTGAGAGTGATTACCATCATCATCAAGGCAACATTTGATTAATGCCACACTCAAGAAGCCCTGGCAAAAGGGAAGTCAAGGGAAATCAGGAGTAATCTCTCCACTGGTAGGAGTCATACCTAGCACAAAGAAAGGTTGTTATGGTTATTGGATGCCAATCATTTCAGCCCCAGGACATTGATGTAGGAATTTCCCAGGGCAATAATCCTTGGCCCAAACACCTTTCAGCAGCTCCATCAATGACTTTCCTTCCATCATAAAATTGATTGGCACTCCACCCAACACCTTCAACATTCACTCCCCTCAAAACTGAGGGGTACAGTGGCAGCAGTGTGCCACGACAAGCACTGTGGTAACTCATCAAGGCTCCTGAAAGCACTATCCAAAACCATAACCTCTACCAATCAGATAAGGGCAGCAGATGCATGGGAAGACCACAACTTGAAAACTCCCCTGCAAACCACACACCATCCTGATTTAGAATTATATTGTGCTCTTTCAATGTCACTGAGTCAATATTGTCAAATTCCCTTCTTAACAGCACTGTGGTTCAAGAAGGTGACTCATCACAACCTTCTCAAGGACAAATAAAGATGGTCTATAAATGCTGGCCTAGCCAATGATACCCACATCCCATGAATAGATTTTTTTTTTTTAAATGTGGGGATGTTTGCTGATGATTATACAATGTTCAGAACTATTCGTAGTTCCTCAGATACTGAAGCAATCCATATCCATATGCAAGAAGATCTGGACAAAATTCAGTTTTGGGCTGATAAGTAGCAAATGACATTTGCACCACACAGGTCCCAGGGTATGATCATCTAAAAATTTCCCTATGACATTAATCAGCATGATGATCACTGAAATCCCCAATTTCAACGTCCTGAGGGTTCTTGGAAAGAAACTGAGTTGGACCAACCACGTAAATACAATCAGGGGCTGAGAATTCGGAGGTATCCCTCAAAACAGTACTGATGTTTGTTTGAACTTTGTGTGCTTGTAACTGTGAAAGACTTACTGAAGGCAACGACAGACTGTCTGTGGGATCAAAGCTCTTCCTACGGTGTAGCTTGTATTTGTGTGGAGGAAGCAAGGTTGATCTAGGGATGCTGACTCTGAAAGTAACACAAACAGAGACAGAATAAGAACTTCCTGATCCTGGTCATAATTGACATCTGTAAATTCCACTTTGCAGTGCAGAGAACAACTATCAGAGTCATGAATAAAATTTGTAACACATGAATATTTGATAAGCCTTACTGCTTTAGTTCAGTTATTCCCGACATCTACCTCATACTGTAATACTTGTTCAGGGTGTTTGCCGAAGGGTAGGAAGTCACAGAGCTCTCTCTTCTCACTGATAACAAGCATGAGGGAACCCAAAGAAGCAGAATCACTTTCAGCTTTTAGGGACAGCAAAATGTCATCAGATTCAGAAAGAACAAAAATTAACCAAATCAGTTATCACTACTCAGGATTTAGGGATTGTTAATGTTAGTGCGAGAATTAGATTCCATTATTCCAGCTGCCTTTTTTTATTGAAACCAAACTTAGTGAACTTAATTAAGTGTATTTAATATTATGATAATATTTCATATTTAATATTTCTTGGACGACATAGGGTTTGGAGGATAGTGCAAAAATTCATTTATTTCAAGTTTGTGAAAACACCTGGAATGGTTTCTTGAAAAGAGTTTATTGAAATGTCACTGGAGACTTTTTAAAAATGTCTTCCCAGAAATCACATGATTGGTGATAACTTTGCCGTAGACATTAGTTGGAGTTCATGAACAGTGAATGACTTGGAAAGTTGCTGTTTCTTTTTAAATCCGTTATTTGCTTGCAGTAAAATAAGCCTGCATGTAAGGGATGCCCGGCTCATTACTCCTACTTTCGGAAAAGAAATCCCTCATTATGCTCAGGACAAAACCTATTTTTTTTTTGACCGTAATTGAAGGAACATCTCATTATTACATTTCCTCACTTAACAAGTCCATAGACAACAATGCATGAATGGTGACTTGGCCACAGGTGCCAAGACATCATAGTGATAGACTTCAGAACATCATACACTTTTTCTTAAAGAGAGTAAGCCACATCACCTTTCTTAGTACCTGCCTACAGAACTGGATCATCCCAAATGGACTGCAATCTACATTCAGGCCATCCGAATTTGGCCCTGACCATGACAACCGCTACATACAGAACATTCAGATCCTCCAAAAACATTTTTCTCTGCGGCTCCTGAAGGACACACTCTCAGCAATGCGCCGGCATCTTCTGGCCCTTCAATCAAGCCTACCCCAGCTCAGAGCCTCCCTCTCCCAAACTTGCAAAGGACCTCTCCTGTCTTTCATTCTTCGCAGGATCCACATCTGCTCCTCCCACCTCACTGACCAATCCCCACCACTACATACCTACACTGACCTTTATTAGCTTCATTCCCGCCTCCTTGACCTGTCCGTCTTCTCTCCCACCTATCCGCTCCACTATCTACCTGCTATCACTGTGCCCCACCCCCAACACTAATTACTTCAGAGCCTCCTTCCCCTCCCCCATTTCTGAAGAAGAGTCCTGACCTGAAACATCCTGTTCCTCGGATGCTGCCTGGCCTGCTGTGTTCCTCCAGCTCCACCCTGTGTTATCTATACACTTTTTCTTATTGCCTTCAAGAAGAAACACTAGCCAGTGATTCTTTTTTTCAGAAAAATCAATCTGCTGAAAAACTCATTTCATTTTCTCTTTTGCTGAAAAGAGAGTGTGTGTGTGGTGTTTTGGGGATATTTAGCGGGATAAGCATTTAAACTTTTATATTATCAATTGTATATGCTAACCAATCCTTGCAACAGCGGGTTCCTCCAGACTCAGCTAAAACGTTAACTCAATAATTAGAATATATTAGGTACAAAGTACACACAGGCTATTATATATCAGCAAGGCCTGAGCTACAATGTGTACAGTACTCCTTGGCCTACTTTTGCTCTTAGTTCTTATGCTCCTAATCCCTTACTGATTTATTGACCTGCCATTTATCAACAGCCACCTTTTTCACTTTCATTTTACTCTCAAGAGGCTTTGTCATCTAGTCACATGGCTTTGCAAGATTTTTCTTTCTACATCCTGTCAAGTCGGCACCTTTACATGTTCTCTATGAAAGTCTCCTTTTACTCAATTTCCTGTTTTATCTGTCAATCATCATTTCCAATCCATCTGGACTAGATCCCTTTTCAATTCACAGAAATTTATTTCATTTAAGTATCTTCACCTTTAAGTACTCCTTGCCCTTTTCTGTAACTATACTAAACTTAAAGGCATGAATAGATAGATAATAGATTTATACTAAGATTCCACTATAAAGCTAGCAACTACAACAAAGAACTCTGCATAATTCCTATTTACTAACATGGCCAATCACTTCTAAACAAATCCGAGAAAATAAAACATCAATATAAATCAATACAGTACATGTTAGCCTGCCCCTGTGTGTACTTTGTACCTAATGCATCCTAATTATTTAATTAATATTAAGAAGAATCTTTTATAGTCTTTCATTTTGGAGCACAATGGCTGGAAACTGTTAAGCCTGTGCACTGGGCAACAGCTATCAAAAAAACACAATCTTGCTTATAATGTGGCTTCAAGATATGGACTGCATTACAATAGGGGTCTCAATGTAAATCTTTCATCTGCATACAATTCCTGTCAACTTTTGCTATTGTAAATTCTTATGGCTACACTTATACTGGCAACTGTCAATGAATGCATGTTGCCCTATATTTACATGACATACTGATTGGGTGGCTTGTAGCACCATGTTCAATTATAAATATGGACAGACAAATCATATGAACATAAAATTAAGAACAGATATACGTGTTTACAATGGGACCTGAAGTATATCTGTAACATGATCTAATTGTCTCTGGTGTCTAATATCACTTCATTTGAAACAAAGCCAGAGCCTAGAAATTACTAAGAGCAAAACCTGGGGTCTCAGCAGAAACAGACTCCACTGTCTTCTGAAATTTTCTCAACTCCATCTCTGTGTGCACCCACAATAGTTTGTGCCTCAGACATCTGCCTGCTGCTTTATAAACAACTTTATATTTAAAGTTTAAATTCACATTGCAGAAGTTCAAGCAGAAATGTGGTGTGTGCAGCAATGAAAAGAGTATTACCTGATATAAGCAGGCTCCTCCAGAGTGTGCGGCTGCTTTGACTTGGGAGTTTTACAAATAGGACAGGGTGCTGCTGGTTCCAGTGGGACAGCAAATAGGCGATTATTAACACGGTAAGAGTGAGTGCCTGAAACAATCACAGTCATGAGTTTGAGCATACATTATTTTGAAAAGATGCATGATTGACAAATGGCAAAATCAATGCAACAGATCAGTATGCAGCCCAAACTTGGACACTGTACAGAGCTGCTGGGCAGTTTACCAACTGTCTTGTTATAAAGATTTGCCTCCAAGTGGCGTCAGCAATCACTATCAGCCATTACTTATGTTGCATCACATTCAGGTTTTGAAATTTGTTCATGTGATGTGAGAAACATTGCCAATTTAATGCCCATCTCCAGATAGTCTGAGAGATTGAGGAGTCCAGATCTCCTTTTCTCTTGAAGGTGCTGACTCTCTCTGGGGTCCAGCACCCCTCTTCCCATGAAGGTACTGCCTCTCACTTGGGTTCAGTTCCTCTCCATGCCAAAATGCACATTTTTCAAGTCGCATTCAGTTCCCCTCTAACCTGAAGGTGGGGTCAGTTAAGGTAAAAAAAGACTTGCATTTTTACAGCACCTTTCACAACCATTGGCTGTAAAGTGCTTTGAGATGTACAATGAAATATCACTGACGTGCAGTCACTTCTGGAACAAAAACTAAAATATTCTAATTTAGTATTAGTTCCACAAATACCAGATGTTGTCCAACCACTACTTGCCAAAATAGGCAATCTTCAAGTGCCACGAGTTAATAGTTTAACAATAGCGGCAAACTTGATGCTGTCATAACACATGACCTAACAACAATTGAAACGTGATCAGGAGCAGGAATCCTGGCACAATTATTCTTTCTAATATGGACATGATTAGTTGTAAGACAGACAGTGAAGTGTAGGCAAAGAATAAGGTTCTTGATTCCACAGCACGTAGCACTTTTATGCATTGAGCTCTCACTGAACCAAACTACATACAGCCATTTCAACATATTTTAAACACAATCTCTAAACAGAATGATAACTTACACTGGTGAACATGACAGTTGTAATCAAGCTTCTCCTGATCTGTAGACTGAACATCGAGTTCTTCTGCTCTGAAAAATGCAAGAATAAGATTAATATCCCCCCATTATTCTAAGTCGTTAACCAGATTGTAAGGTTTCTTTGTGCATGATCTCTGGCAGAATAAAATCAGACAGCTCTGCTGAATCTCTCTACAGTTGATACTTGGACAGTTCCAGTCTAGACTGACTTCCTCCAGCACACACTTAAGTTGTCTCCAATAGCATCATCTCACACTTACTCCATGTATTCCTGGTGCACACATTCATCCTTGTTCACCCTTCGGAAGTCCTGCAGGTCCAAAAAATACTGCTCCGACTTTTCCGACAATGGCGAGTTAAGATCCATCAGACCTGCACGCATATAGCAGCAATCAAATGTCAATGCTGTGGTATTCTGAGGAACCAAACAGCACACCAGGAGAAATGAAAAGTGAAACAGACAGGTCAAAAGCAAGATCACTTGAAAAACGAAGGCCTGCACCTCAGCCCGAGTAGGCAGTTAAAGTCACAAGCTGATTACAGCACTTTACCTGCAATCCAATCATAGCCCAGGAAGGGTCGCACTGCCTGAACCTGTGCCCTAAGGTTGGACTCCTCTTTTGGAGACAGAAATGTGACATGACCCGTATCCACCTGAGAATTAAACAAAATTCTAACAGTCTGAATTGTATTTACCAACGGCAAGTAGGCATTAGACAAATGCCCACATCTCCTCTACCAGTGTTGGCTGGTACAGATCTCAGCATACACCATGTACCTGACATGGGTAGGCTTAGAATGTAGACAGACAGCAACTTACAGAAACAAATCAGAAGGTCATACAAGACAATTCACAGACACTTGTTTAAGAAGCACTTCAGCCCTACCCCAGTCCTGTAATGGGTCCTATACCACATCCACTTTGGCTCTGTCACTGTTCCTCTACATGGACCAGGTCACTCTGGCTCTGTCACTGTTTCTGTACCACCCCACTGTGACTCCGTCACACTTCCTGTACCTGGACCACCCCACTCTGGCCCCGTCACTCTTCCTGTAACTGGACCACCCTACTTTGGCTCTGTCACTGTTCTTGTACCTGGACCACCTTACTCTGGGTCTGTCATTGTTCCTGTACCATCCCATGCTGGCTCTGTTACTATTCCTGCACTTTTTCCTGGACCAGGTCACTTTGTCTCTCTCACCTGCACCCTATCATTCTGGCTGTCACTTTTCCTGAACCCTGACATTCTGGCTCTGTCAATGTGCCTGCAGCCTGCCAGCAGTGCAGTTGGTTACCAACAACCCAGTATAACTCCAATTATACACAAAGAAACTAACTCAACAGATGCTCTTGGTGTTAAAATGCCTAACATGGAAAACCTCAAGCAACAGAATATCAGTTGTAAATCAGGGAGGTCTCCTACCTTTGCCACTTTATCACAAGATTCTAAGAGAATTGGTTTTGGCTTCTGAATGTCTCTGATAAACTGATCTCTGTGTCGATCATTACCCTCATCCAACAGTTGTTCTACATAAAGTGGTGGCTCCAGCTTGGACCTTCGCTTTGGGTCTTCACTGAGGTTCTGTAGGAAGCGAGAATGATGCCTGGGGCTGCTTTCCTTAAAGCTGGCTTCATTCCTACAAAGCTGTCCCGAAGCGGGGTACTCAGGCTCCTTCATTAACCTCGGTGCAAAAGGAGGCTTGGTAAAAGGAGTTGAGCATTTAAAATCTTTTGACACATAGCTGTCAGTCAGCAATTTGCAAGAGGTGCTTCTGGGTCTGGCCTCCGACTTCAGTTTATTCCATTCGCAGTCTAGTGTCTCCATTGCATTGAGGCGACCTTTAGGTGACATACCAACTGACAACGAACAATTCTGTTCTATGCTGGGAATCACCCTAACTTCACTCCCAAGTAGCCAATCTGACTGGTCCACGCCTGCTCCATCTCCAGCACCACGGGTCCAGCCATGCTTTCTGCCTCTGTGTGCCAATGGAATGAACAGTGCAGCACGAGACGGTTCCTTTCTCTTTCGGGACTCAGTCACAACCATCTCATCGAACTGCTGCAATCCATCTTCACGAATCTCTGGACCTGGCAGTTCTGAATGAGTCTGGTCCTTCATATTGGGATTCTTCAGTGAATTTCCACCTTTCTGCTGAAAAAGATCAGAGAATTGATACTGATCAGAATGTAGGCCTTTGAGAACAAAGGGCTAGAACCAGCCTTGAACATTGCACTCATAGCTTGCATTCAAATCCAGCTGTCAGATAGAGTGGCACAATCAGAAATGCAAACTGAGAGATATTATTCAATTTAAGCAGCTCTACATTCAGATTATTTGACAGTTTGGTAACGAACCTGATTGATATCCTATTAACTACCTACGAACATCATAACAATAGCCTTTCAGGTTAAAGTATGTTATCAGGCTAATTTATTTAACACTTGCAGGGAGCCGAATATGTGGAATTCTTTACCACAGAGGGCTGTAGAAGTTGAATCATTAAGTATATTCAAGACTGAGATTTTTATTCAGTAAGGGAATCAAGTGTTATGTGGAAAAGGCAGGAAAGTGCAGTTGAGGATTTTCAGATCAGCCATGATCTCACAACGGACTCAATAGGCAAAATGACTGCTTAATTTGCATTTATAAAGTGCCTTTACCGTAGCAAAACATAGGTACAGAAACATTATAAAACAATATACGACAATGAGCCACTTAAGGACAAATCACTAAATCCAATCTGCACCAAATACTGCATTCAATGTGGAGATGATATCTACCTCAGTACCCTTGTCGTTGCAGTTCTCTTGGTATTCTGTAGAAGCTCTGCTCTGCACTGACTTGATGGCACCTCGACAGGATCCATCACCGCTATCAAGGGGCAGAAGCACATTCCATGGAATCTTGAGCTGCTTTAGCCTCAGCTTCTGCAGCAGATATTTGTTCTGATCTCGAAGGGACTGCAGATAGTCAGAGTGGGACATCTTTCAATAGGTAACTCAGCAGTTGCTGCAAATAAGGGCAGAAAGAAAGCTTCAATTTATATAGCGGCCTTCACGACTTCAAGATGTTCGACAGTGCTTTACAGCCAGTAAAATATTTGAAGTTGTCATTGTTGTAATGTTGAAAACTCGGAAGCCAATTCGTGCACAACAATGTGAAAATATCCATGTAATTTGTTTTTAGCATGCTGGCTGAATATTAAATATTATTTGGGACGTCAGGACACAACACCCTCACTTTTGAGGGAGAAGGTGCGAGACAGAAGGGTCACTGGATCCAAAACGTTAACTCTGTTTTCTCTCCACAAATGCCGCCAGACCTGCAAGTTTTTCCAGCAATTTCTATTTTCGGTAGTGATTGAGAAGAGGGGTTCTGATTTAAAAGTCTCCACACCTCTGAAAGCATAGCCTTCCCTCACTAGGAGGTGTTTCAGCCTGAACTTTAATTCTTGAGGCTCTTTTTTGGAAAATAAAGATATTTTCTTATCAACCCGTTCAGAGATATTATCACACACCTCTGGAGGCAGGTGGGACTTGAACCTCCTGGCTCAGAGTTGGGGACACTACCATAGCGCCACAAGACACCAGTGAACTGGGATTTCAACTTGACAACTTTCTGACTCAGAAACTAGAATGCTCTTGGACGTCCGTTAGAGATAGAATATCAAACAACAAGTACATAAAGTCCCAGTGTTTGGGAGAGTAAAGTACCGAGAATAGGAAATCTGAAATTGCCCCAGCAACAGTAGTAAAAGGAGGGCAAGAAAGAGAAATGTCCCAGGGATAAGGAACAGCCGGTACGAAGCCCTCAGTGCGAAACGTTCTTCGTTATCACTCTATCGGACTTTCTGGCCGCACTCAGCTCCAAACGTCCCTCCGGCCCTCGAGACGCCGCCATTCCCTCAACAGGCTTTTCTTCCCGCTGTTGTCCCCTCGCCGAGAGCGGCCGATGATTGGTCGGGTGCCGTGATGGGTGGGACCTGACTCTCCCTCTGATAGGTCATCCCATCTGTCTGTCACTAAACTTAACCTATTTATTGGCTTGTTCGCAAAGTGACGCATGTCTATTCATGAATGACGGATAAATAGCAACAGGTTATGTCCGAACTAGACAAGTACGGTTACTTGTTAGTAACACTGGGCATGTACAATCCGAATGCATATCCAGGCCGGCTTATTCTAACAGGCCTCACTTCTCCGCAGGGTTTACTTTTAAACACACAGAAGAGGTGTCAGTGTCCAAAGTTGTGTTTTCTATCATTATCCCAAGCTCTTCCTTTAATCCTCCTCCACTTAAAAGATAAAAGAACACTTCTAGTTCATAAAGGGACAAATGACACAAAGGAACTTTTTCAAATGAATTTATTTTGTCCAGTACTTTAAACAAGTTCAGTCCCAGTCATGACAAGAATAATAGTGGAAGCTTTGCAATCATGAGCAGCAGAAATAGTGCATTTAAATTTTTTTCAAAACTAAAACCAACTGCATATGAATGACCAAAAGTACTGAGATTTAAACCAATTCTGGTGCCTTGTTATGTACAGCTCTAATCATCTGCCTCACATTTTTATTCAGTGCAACTACTCAAACTTCACACAGCTGGAACAAACCTCAACCTGGATTCCTCACTTCATTCTTTAGTGAAGTGGACAGCAACGTGACTTGCATCTGAAAGATAAGTAGCTTAATATTTCAATAATTAACCCATCTTTTCTCTGAGATGCTAACAAAGTGTACTTTCAGAATTTTCAGTTCTTACATTTTATGATTTATTTAAATTCTTCAAACTTTGAATACAAGCCTCAAAGTAATGGCTGAACTCAAAATAGCTACTTTAAAAATATTAAATACTCATATTTCTGCCCATGTAACCAGAAGAAAGATTCAGTGTTACAGTCTGGGTACATGATCAAAATTCAAATCTGTTGTCCATGATGCATTTATAAAGTATTTGTCATCAGTGAAAATTGACAGGTTCAGAATAATCACAGCTCTTAACGCTCCCATATATTACAAAATTTAAAGCGCAGAATTTGCCAGTATTCAGGGTAAAGAGTTTCCTCCATCAATAAAACTGGGTACATCAAGATCACCATGAAAACAACACAGCAGAGATCTAGGGTTTTGAATGCTCATCCTTTGGGACAGTGTTTGCAGTCAATGTAAAAGATGTAGCTATCACACCAATAAAAAATACTTCACACTGCATTACACAGACAATCTACACACACAGGATCTGCAGTGTTCAACATTCTTGGTTTTTACATCTACATGCAAATATCCCACTTTTCATAAATGTGACTCATGAAATGCAAATGCATCCTGTATACTATCTTACACATGATTCCAATTAAATACTCCTCCAAGTTGGACTGAAGGTCTGATATGAGAACGAGGAAAAGCTATTCTTTTTATCCACCCAAACCCCACTATCAGCACTAAATCGGAATTAATTATACTCTCTTTACTAATAACCAGATAGGCACAATGGAATTCTTCTTTACCACCCACCAATACAGTTAATTAAATTACAGGCAATTGTTTTCCCATTCAGCAAAAATCTTTCCCACGTTTACATGTAAGCTCAGTACCCAAGTCCATTCAGATTTGAATTTCAGTTCTCCTTTTCTTACTGGCTTGCTTCTCTGCAAGGCTGATTGACAGACTGAGAACATTACATACTAGGACTACATTCAGCTCAGGCTTGCTGCCCACTTTTTATCCAAACAAAACTCACTAAAGATTCAATTCAGGGCACAAACAATTTAAACAATCTAGAATAAGAGGTACTCAGAGTGTGTCACAGGCTGGAATCTGACCAAAGGGACTCAAATTTACAGGCCAGAATCTTATCAAGAAGTTTGTGACAACACAGATTGTGAATTTGGGGAAGGGTTTGGGAACAGGATCATGATTTTTTCATTCCTAAGGAACTTATTTTTTTCTCCAGTCAAAATACAAATGTTTCACCATTTCTCAGCTGTACAAAGGTCCAATATTTTGCTGTAGTTAAAAAGTGGTCTGTGGATCACAAGTGGAGTATTCCACAGGTCACTTGGGATCATGGACCTCAAGACTACAAAAGATCAAGGAGACAAGTTCCGTGTGCCAAGTGCAAATCAATAAGCCTGAGCTGATTCATGACAAGGAAGGTGGTCTCCTTCTGACTTGTGATGCATCATGTGTAAAAAGTCAAACACTGATCATTGAATCAATACCATTAGTTCAGTCCCAGTTTTAAATCAATTCTCAAATGTGTATAAACTATTCTGAGAGGAAAAAATAATATTCCAACAATACCCCCAACCTCCCCCAGCACAGTAGTTAGTGTTGGATCTGTGTTTCAGATACAGGAAACATCTCTCAATCTTGTACGAAATTAGTTACTCTCATCTGCTCTGCTCCAGGTACTGGTGAGTGAACATGTTCAGCTCACTGTCCAGCCAGCCAGCCTTATTCCTGCAAAGAATAACAGTCAGTTACAACAAGCAGAGGTCAAGGAACACAACAACTATGAGACTTCATTCCTTAAACAAAGTCGAACGCCTGGCAACTCCCACGTACTCTGCGATACCACCTTCATCCAGTCATAGCATGCAGAACATTTGAGTCCCAGAGCTCTTTCCCTCTTCAATTAGGGGGTCAGAGATCTACCACATAGTGTACAGTACTTGATCACTTGACTCTAAACTCCAACAGACTAGACCTTATGGAACAGCTCTACATGTAGCAAAATGCTTCTGGTAATCATATTTTTGTGCTCAACGCTTGCCATTGGTTTTTTCCAATACTAGTGGATACTCACCTGAGCAGCTTGGCTTTGCTCTGCAATGAATCCAGCAGTTCAATCTTCTTATTTAAGTCTTTAATTTCCTCATCGAGGTTCTGCCGTGTTACATCCACCTGCTGACACAACTGAGCGAATGTTCCTGTCAGCTCCCTGCAGAGGAAGGCATAGAAACAGAAGCACTTTGGAAAGAAGGTAAAGACACAAAAAACTATGCATTTACTGTAACATTAGAACATGCGATGAGTAAGGGGAAATTGCATGAATCAGACAGGGTTTTGCTGCAGATTAGCATCCATTGGTCTCTGGTAGGAGCTGCAGGTGGGGATGACAAGTGAAATCAGATCTGACTTCACTGTAATGTCATTGTATTTGAATTCCTACTAGAATTCATATGTTAATGCCAGATGTGAAGAACAGTTGTCAGTGTGGGGAACTGATGGGTGTTGGCACTGGGTTAATGGGACAAGAGGTAGATGGCACTAGGCAACTGTACTTGAGCAAGAGTTGGCGCCTTCAGAGCCAGTGGGGGAAGACAATTAGAAAATCAGAGAGGAATAACTTTTGAAATTTGAATGGAGCAGCCCAGATCTTGAAGTAGAAGAATGTGTGTAGGACGCAGTGGAAGGTGGGATCTGTCTCCATATTGACTCCAACACTCGCCCCATTCCTTCACTTACTGTTGCACCTGATGGCTGCAGTTGGATCCAGTGTAGCCGACAATGAGCTGTAGTTTCTCAGTAGCGTAATCCACAAGTTGACGTTTGAAAGCTCTTTCTTTGGCTCTGGTTGTCCACGTCAGACGCTCATACACATACAGGAGGCCATACATTCCCACAGTCAATGCAATCAGCCGCCAGCCCACTGCTTTCCACACCTGAAAAACAATCAGACAAGGAGCTCGCATTTCTCCAAATCCCTTCCATAAGGTGAAGCAGGAAAGCTGACGTTTCAGGTTGGGACCCTTCTTCAGAAATGGGGGAGGGGAAGGGGGCTCTGAAATAAATAGGGGGGGGGGGGGGGGGGTGAAAGCAGGTAGGTAGTGGATTGGTGGAGAGAAGACGGACAGGTCAAGGAGGTGGGGATGAAGCTAGTATAAGGTCAGTGTAGCTAGGTGGTGGTGGGGATTGGTCAATGAGGCGAGGATGAAAGGGGGGTGCTGGTCTTGGGATGAGGTCAGGGGTGGGGAGATTTTGAAGCTAGTAAAGTCCACATTGGGTTGTAGACTTCCAAGGTGGAATATGAGGTGCTGTTCCTCCAGTTTTTGGGTGGCATCGTTGTGACACTGGAAGAGGCCAAGGATGGACATGTCGTCCAGGGAGTGGGACGGGGAGTTGAAGTGGTTCGCGACTGGGAGGTGTTGTCGTTTGTTGCGAACTGAGCGTAGGTGTTCTACAAAGCAGTCTCCGAGTGTCCGCTTGGTCTCCCCGATGTAGAGGAGGCCAGATCGGGAACAGACAGTACAATAGACCACCTTAGCGGATGTGCAGGTGAACATCTGTTTGATGTGGAAGGTGTTTTTGGGGCCTGGGATGGAGGTGGAGGGGCAGGTGTAGCACCTCCTGCGGTTGCAAGGAAAGGTGCTGGGGGTGGTGGGGCTAGTGGGGAGTGTGGAGCGGACAAGGGAGTCGCGGAAAGAGCAGTCCCTCCGGAAGGCAGACCGCTCCTCCCACCTCAGTGACCCATCCCCACCACAGTGACCCATCCCCACCACTGCCTACCTACACTCACCTTTACTAGCTTCATCCCTGCCTCCTTGACCTGTCCGTCTTTTCTCCCAACTATCCGCTCCACTATCTGCCTGCTATCACTGCCCCCCCACCACCATTTATTTCAGAGCCCCCTTCCCCTCCCCCATTTCTGAAGAAGGGTCCCGACCCGAAATGTCAGCTTTCCTGCTCCTCTGATGCTGCCTGGCCTGCTGTGTTCCTCCAGCTCCACACTGTGTTATCTCCGACTCCAGCATCGGCAGTTCTTACTATCCCTTCCATAAAGCATCATTTTATAAAACACTGGTTTATTTGATTTGCTGCAACATTCCAATCCGTTTCTCAAGGACATCTACAGATTTTCTGTTCATTTATATTTTACAAAGGCAATCTGAACAGGCAGCTAAGCAAGGAATGAATGGATGGTAATACTAGAGGCAAGGATGAGAAATCAGACATCCCTTAGGTGTATGCACACTGCCCACTGTTTCATCAACAGGAGACCATGGACAGACACCAGCCAGATGCCAATCTATGACCTAATCCTGCTCTCAACTCCTAACTACATCAACATTTCTCAATTCCAAGCAACTGTCTCATTCCCTTTGAAATGGGTCAACTCACCGTCACTTTCCATTTTGAGAGATAACTTTAAGTTTGGATCCTTATTACCCTCATGAATGGAAACAAATATTGCTGTTTATATTTACATTAAAACTATTCATATTAAAGGCCTCTATCAGGTCATTGGGTTACCTCAACTCTAGCCAACCACCGCAGCACTGGACAACGAGGAGGATCTTGCTGGTGACCTTTATGCCATGAAATACATCTACCTGCATGGCAATCCACTTAGGTAATTTTGAGGTGTCAACATGGCCTCATGGTAGAAGTCTCCACTCCAGTCAAAGTGACGGATCCAAGCCTTTTGACAAGTACATGTTCCCAGCCAACAGTCAATGAAGAACAACTGCCCTGCTTACTTGGGCAGGAGAATTCCATGGTACATTTCTCCTTTTATCTATTATGACCAAAACATATTAAATGGTTTCACTTCAGCTGCTGCTTATGGGATCCCGCTGGACTATGTGCATTTAGGCTCTGGTGTTTGCACAGAAGTGACTACACTTCAAAAGTATTTCATTGACCCTGATGAGACATGGCATGTCCTGAAGCTGTGATCAGCTCCCACATTAATTAAAGTTATTGTTTGTCTTTAGGTCCCAAAACCTGTTCCTCTTCCTCCTTCTCACAGTGTCAGCAATGCCACACTGTCCTGTCTAATAAATCAATCTTGGTTGTCATAGGGTTAGAGTTAGTCTAACGATATCACGGTTATACAGAGGAACTGCTGCTGTCCAGCTCAGAATGTCATTGTTCCTCTATCAGCTACTGACTTTGCAATTTGGCAGGGATCACCCCATTACTTACCACACCCCCAACCACGATAATTCCCATAGATGTCCGCGAAGTTAATGAAGCCAATCCTGTTATCATGGAAACCATGAGTTCTTCCTGGGTCATGGAACCCTGGGGTAAGGGTGGTAAACTGGTGCTGACTGGCGTAATGGGTAGTTGCCGTGGCACCTGGAGACACAAGAATGAATGGAAGTCAGGCAGCCTACAACTAATACAAACCTCTCAAATTACCTCATACGTCAGTTAGATGACAGGAAAGCAGCAGAGGAACCAATCTCGCTACTAGCAATCAACAATGGTTCAGTGATAGTATTTTGCCTCTGGCCAGAGATTCGAGGGTTGAGGTCTCATTCCAGAGGCTTGAGCACATAATCGAGGCAGTACTGAGAGAATGCTGCACTGTTTGAATTGCCATCATTTAGATGAGATTTGAAACTGAGACCCCTGTCCCAAAGAATCATTTAAAAGAAAACAGGGAGTTCACCCCTTTGCCCTGACCAACATTTAATCCTGCAACCTGGCTTAAAAGCCAAAAACCAGAATTTCGTTAATAACTAGATAATGGGTTTTTCCTTTGCTTTACCTGGTCATTGTATCCTGTTAGTGCTCTGCGACTGCTCTTTGGGCCAAGGAAGCGATTGATGAGCATTGTCCACCCAAGTGAGAAGTGGAAATCTATGTCCTCTTGGAAGTCAGCACAGAGTCGATCACAGTTTAGGTCATAACTGAGACTAAAACGCTGACGAGGTACCAACACATCTACCTGACCTCTTTCTGTAGGTGGTAGTAGGGGCCGCAGGCTGTCTGGGGTAAGGAAAAGAGAGAAATTTTTTCAAAATCATCCACTGGAAAGGGGTTTCAGAAGGTTTCCATCACCAACTAACACAAGGCTTCACAGAACTCTCCACACAATCCCAACCCTGGTACCCCAACCCTGCCCTCACACCCTGCACCCCACAGCCCATTCCTACAGACACCAAATTCTCACTTCTTTCTCCTTTAAAAACCAGTTTGGTCTGCTCCATGTTCCCTGCTGTCTCTAATGTGTCAGCAACCTTGACACAGTAGTTAAATGAGTACAAGCTGCAGCTAAAGGACAAAACGTATGGTTAGTATCAAGTACTCTTGGAGGAAATTAAATTATAAACAAGCCCAATGCTGCAGACCGCAGCACAGCAGGGTGGCAAGGTGGCTCAGTGGTTAGCACTGCTGCCTCACAGCGCCAGGGACCTGGGTTCGATTCCACCCTCGGGCAACTGTCTGTGTTGAGTTTGCACGTTCTCCCCGTGTCTGCGTGGGTTTCTTCCGGGTGCTCCGGTTTCCTCACACAGTCCAAAGATGAGCACACTAGTGGGTTGGCCATGCTAAATTGCCCGTAATGTCCAGGGATGTTTGGGTTAGACATGGGGAAATGCAGGGGAAGGGGAATGAGTCAGGATGGGATGCTCTTTGGAGCAGCAGTGTGGATTTGTTGGGCCAAATGGCCTGTTTCCACACTGTAGGGATTCTATAAAAAAAAAGTTCAATGCTACTCATTTGTTGACACGTAGCTGAAACTCTTATTTCTCATAAATGTTACACTGTGAAAAGACCAAATGTCCAACACTGACCGATCATTTCCTGTTGTGTTTTTTGCAGGCTGGCTGTAATGGTGACAGAGCAACGATCAGACATGTTGCGCCCAAGTCCTTCCTCAATGTGTTTGTGAAGCTCCTATAAGAAGGGAGGAACAAAGAAAAGGATGCTTAGAATAGGTGGAACAAACTGAGAGAAAGAACAACATTGACCCTGGGACCATAAAACTCAGATCTGTCAAGTTTTTTTTTTAATTCTTTCATGCAAAGTGAGTGACACTGGCAAAGTCAGCATTTATTTCTCTTCGCCAACAGCAACTTGAACTGAGTCAGAGGGCAACTGAGTCAACCACACTGCTGTTGAACTGGAGTCACATGCAGGCCAAATCAGGTGAGAATGGCAGATTTCCCTTCCCTCAAGGACATTAGTGAACCAGGAGGGTTTTCTTTTAATAGCAACTGACAAATGGTTTCATGGTTACCATTAGACTAGCTTTAAATTTCAGATTTGTGAGCTGAATTAAAATATCCATGCCATGATGGGACTCAAAGTCATGTCCTCAGAGCATTAGCCAGGATTATCCAGGGACTCTAGATTGCTAGTCCAGTGATAATACCAGTACACCATTACCGCTCCTCAAAGTCCAGTCTTATTTCCTCTGCAGAGGGGCTGAATAAAGTTTCTTTCCCCGCCTCGTTCTTGGCTGTCAAGTTTATGGAGTCACTTTCCCCAGAGGGCTTGGCACCCACACTGGCTTCTCACTTGATCCTATTAAGATTAGTAATTCCCTGAAAGTTCCTTTTCTTCCTTCCAAATTTCAGATTGCATATCCTATACACAGACTTCTCCTTCCTGCACCCTCATTATGTTGGATCCAAGATTCATTCACCTCCAGCTCAAACTAATTCTCTCTCTGGATCTTGCTCCTACTACCTACAAACTTTTATAATTCAACCTTGACATCAACCAGCACTGCCTCCCCAATTTGCCTGTCCCATTTCCTCATTCTTCACCCTCAGCCTTTTAGCAAGTTTCCAATAAAGAAATTCTAACAACTGATTTGTTACATGACCACTAACTGAATTGCAACTGGAGACAAATGAAGCAGACTGAGGGGCTGGTCTAACAAGCAGGCTTACACACCTACAATGCTTTAGAACACCTGCCACAAGTACTGCTCTTCTAGTAACCATGAGCCTAATAATCACATCTTCCACCAATTTCTCAAGTTTGAACGCGTGCGAGAGGGAGTTGAGCATTAAGACGGGGTGTTCACGATGGAACTGGTGCTCAGACATCTTTCAATGAGTTCCATCCTCTTGGGGTACAAATCTTTCACATCGACCAACTGCATGCAGACTAATCAAAACTCCTGGAGGAAGATTCACCCAGGAGACAGGGTGATTCTAATGCAAGAAGATTGAGCCCAGGGATCAATCCACTCATTCTGACACCAAATACTCACACTCTTGTAGACTCTAAGCACCACCAGAGAGGGGTGAAAATCCATCTGAAAATCATCCACCAATGTGGCAAGATGGCGGATTTCTTCTGCCATTGCATTCGAGACCTGAAACACAGGAAATGGCATCAAACTGTGGCCAGGTCAGACTTAGCAGTAGGTACAAAATCTTGGAGCAGAGGAAATACCACTGAGAACATTACATCACACTTACCTGCTCCCCCAAAACCCCCTGAAAAAAAATGCAAAGCTGGCCCTTCGATACTCAATCTCACCTGCCGCTCCACCTCCTCAGTGATCTGTTTCATTTTAGCTTTACAGTCCTGGGTTAATAAATCCAGTTGATTGTCTATAAACTCCAATCGATCCATTCGTTCTTCTCTCTGTTTCAGGCAATGTACCCTGAAATGAGATTAAAGATCAATCCCAACCTCATCTAATCCAAAATCCTCAGTGTGACGGTCTTAAGGACAGTGGTATTATTCCGTTGTACAAGGTCCTTATCATTTTATTTTTTGATTTCTTATATTCTTAATGTCCCCCTATCCTCCCCAGTGAATTAAACATCCCGATCAGAAATTGGGGCAGGGGTGTTGTTTTAAATTATGGACAACCTGTTGATGCATCAAAAAACTTTAAGTAACATTGGCCCTGCTTTCTGTACACACCTCTGCTCTGTGGCAGCAACATGCACAGAATCCATGATTCGCCGAAGGGCCTCAGAGATTTGCTTGGCACGGACTGTGTGTTGTTCAAACTTAGTCTTCACTGCTGACTGCGAGATACATTCCTGCAGAAAATATTCAGAAAACAGGAGGACAGGTTACACAGGAATCAGCTTAAACTCTTAAACCTTATAGCAAGAACAACTCAGAGGAAATGAACTTAGGTCAGAAGGATTCTTACACAGAGTAAAAGACCACATTTATTTGACCAAATGAAATAAGGACCTGATGGATTTATGGAACACAAGGGCTTTCAGTGAAAACTATGAATAAGTCCTATCATTCAGCACAGACTCACCTCAAACCGTCGCTCAAAGTTCTGGAATTCGAACATTCTTGCCTGGAAGCCCTCAGCCAGTGCTCCACCTGTTCACAACACACAAACAGTATGAACCACATCACTTCTCAGAGACATGCAGAAATTCAGGCATCATAAATTAAACCGGTAGATGAAGGCTGGGAAATAATCCACAACATAAGAGATGCAGCATCAAAGTCAGACAGCTGCAGTGAAACACAATTATTTCAGTCTAACGAACGACAGTGCAGTCTGGGTCAAGTTAGCAATTGGTCACAGTGTCTATGAGTTAGGGAAAGGAGTGTCCAAGTCTTGATTGTTACTCAGTGATTTCTGCTAAAGATGAACAGGTTAGGGGTGGAGAGATTTTGAAGCTGGTGAAGTCAATATTGGGCCATTGGGTTGTAACCTCCCAAGGCAAAATATCAGCTATTGTTCCTCCAGTCTGTGTTTGGCCTCACTCTGACAGTGGAGGAAGCCAAGGATGGATATGTCACTAAGGGAGTGGGAGGTGGAGTTAAAGTGGATGGCAACCGTAAGGTCAGGTTAAGTTGGTGCATGTAGAGCGCAGATGCTCCGTGAACCAGTCCCTGAGTCTGTGTTTGGTCTCCCTGATATAGATGAGACCACATCGGGAGCAACAGATACAGTTGATGAGGTTAGATGTAGTGCAGGTGAATCTCTGCCGGATTTGGAAGGTTCTTGAGTAGATTTGTAGCTCGGGTTGTGGATGCTGTGGTTGGTTCACTCACCGAGCTGGTTCGTTAGTTTGCAGACATTTCATTACCCTGCCGAGTAACATCATCAGTGCAGCCGCCGATGAAGCGCTGTTTTGTTTTTCCGCCTGATATTTAAACTCTGGGGTCCATTGGAATTGCTTACCTCATTTCCGGTTTTTCCTTGCAGTGGTGTATATATAGGGTCTAATTTTACATGTTTATTGATGGCCTTCTTGGTGGAGAAATTCCCATGCTTGTCTCTGTCTGGCCTGTCCTAGGATCCTGATGTTGTCCCAATCGAACTGGTGGCTCTCCTTATCCGAGTGAATGGAGACAAGTGAGTATTGGTCAGAGATAGTAGGAACTGCAGATGCTGGAGAATCTGAGACAACAAGGCGTAGAGCTGGATGAACACAGCAGGCCAAGCAGCATCATAGGAGCAGGAAGGCTGACGTTTCGGGCCTAGACCCTTCTTCAGAAAAATGGTCATGTACTGGTCATGTCTTTTTGTTGCTAGTTGGTGTTCATGTATTCTTGTGGCCAGTTTCCTTCCTGTCTGTCCAATGTAATGTTTGTTGCAGTCTTTGCATGGGATCTTGTATATGATGTTGGTTCTGTCCATAGTGGGTAGGGGGTCTTTGGTTCAAGTTAGCAGTTGGCGTAGTGTTGATGTAGGTTTGTGTGCCACTCTGATGCTCAATGGTCATAGGAGTCTTGTGGTCAGTTTGGATGTGTTCTTGATGTATGGTAACATGACGAGTGTGTCAGGGCTTACTGTATCTTTGTTGTTTGTATGGTAGGCATCATCGGACCCAGCTGTTCGGGTAGCCGTTGTCCTTAAACACTTGGTAGAGGCATTCTTCGTTTTGGCGTAGTTCCAGGTTGCTGCAGTGTGTTGTTGCTCATTTAAGTAGTGTTTTTACAGAAGTCCGTTTGTGAATGTTGGTGTGGTTGCTGTTGAAATTCAGGACTTGATCCATGTGTGTGGCCTTTCTGTGTACCTTTGTCAGAAATTCCCCGTTGGCCTGGCCCTGTGTTCTACCATGACGTCCAGGATTGGGAGCAGTTTGTTCTTTTCTTCTTCCCTGGTGAATTTGATGCCAGTGAGTACTCACTTGTCTCCATTCACATGGATAAGGAATTTCAACAATAAACAGACTCACATGATAAATCACAGAATAATCAAGCCATTAAATGCTTCCTCTCCTCCCTGCCCCTTGTCAAGCTATAACCTTATTTTAAACTAAATGAACCTAAACAACTTACATATCTACTTTCATAAGGTTCAGTGTGTTGGTTTTCACAAAGTACAGAAATAGTCTTTGACTTACAATGAAGGACAACCATGAACTGTTTGATGAGGTGGATGACCAGCATCACAGTTGCAAATTGGAAAAGAAACCCACATCTATATCAGGAATAGGCCTCTTAGCCCCTGTAATGTCTGTTCTACCATTTAATAAGATCATAGTTGCTCTGTTACTCCACATTCTCGCCAAGCCCTGATACCCTTTCACCTCCTTCCTTACCAAGAATCTATCTACTTTTAACGTAAAAATATTCAAAGTCACTGGACTTAACCTTTCCATTTTCAGGCAAGTGTTTCCTTGAGTTAGATTCATGGTGCTGGGTCCATCATGGCTCACTGCAAATTTTTCTCTCACAACTTTTGCACTTCATGTCATTAACCCTAAGCTAAGCCTATAAAATTCAGGCAGGACTAGACAGGGTAAATGCAAGAAGGATATTCCTGATGACCAGGAGTCCAGAACAAGGGATCACAGTCTCAGGGTATGGGCTAGGCCATTTAAAACTGAGATAAGATGAAATATCTTTACCCAGACAGTTATGAGCCTGTGAAATTCTCTGCCATAGAAAGCAGTTGAGGCCAAAACACTGAATATGAGGAGGAACCAAGACCTGTTTGCTGAGTTAGATGATCAGCTATGATCGTACTGAATGGCAGAACAGGTTCAGGGCTCAAAGGCCAACAATCCTATTTTCTATGTTGCTATGTCATAGCATATGTCAATAAATGTGGAGCTGGAAAAGCACAGCAGGTCAAACAGCGTCCAAGGAGCGGGGAAATCAATGTTTCAGGCTGAAACCCTTTGTCAGGACTAGGGAGGGGGAGGGGGAGGGGACCCAGAAATAAATAGAGGGAGGGTGTGGGGCTGGCGGAGGGGGGTGGGGGGGGAGGTTAGGTGGGATGGAGATAGGTGGATGCAGGTAGGAGGTTATTGTGGATGTCAGTGGGAAGGGTGGAGCGGATAGGTGGGTCAGATTATGTCAAAGGATACAATCATTAATGAATTCTAAGTAAATAAAGTAAAGCAAAATACTGTAGATAATGGAGACCTGAAATAAAACAATTAAGTACAGGAGAAACTCAGCTGATCTTGCAACATCTGTGGAAAGAGCCAAACAATCAAGCCTGATATGACTCATTTTCAGAATGGAAAAAATGTAGGGTAAAACTTTGCCAGGCAATGGGGAAAGTAAAGAATAGAACTAACTGTGTGAACCTTTCTAAGAGACAGACATGATGGGCTAAATGGCCCCTTTACAAGCGGTGGGATTCTATAGGTCAGGAATTTTGCTTATTCAACCAGGGTTATTATGAATATGTAGCAATCCTGTTTGCTTCCTTCATACCTCCTTCTGGCATCCCCTGTGCTTTCTGGATGCGAGCATTCAAAACCTCTTTGGCTGATACAAAGAATATGCGATCTGTGGCCTGAGCCCGATTCACTACTCCCAACTCGTCCACCAGGAAACTGGTGCAGCGATCCATATGCTGCCGGCGCACCTGTCATCATGGAAAGAGGTGCTGCATGATTAACATTCTACTCAAACAATGCCCAGTCACAGAGTGAGGAAAAAAAAAGAACATTCATGAGCCAGTGTTGATAAATACCCTAGTTATCACTATAATCATTGCAGTTGCACTGCAGAGTGTGCATATTGTCCAGTGTTAGTCACACACAGAGTGACAATAAGCACAGACATCTGCATTGCTTGAAACACGAGTCTCCTCCATCATTCCCTTAGCAGATCGTCAGTCATGCCTGCCGACTGGTCTGGAAAGGAGCTCACAGCACAACATTTTTACGCCAGGGCAACCACTTCAGAGAAGATAGGATTATTCGCCTTGGAATAGAAAAGTTTAAGAGAAACTAAGGTTGAGAATCATGAGGGTTTTGGAGAAGCTGCCTTCAGTGGCAGAAGGTTTGATAATTTAGACTTATGAAATTGGTAAAAGAACTAGATGCAAAAGGATTTTTTTTAAAACCCATTGAATTCTTGTGATCTTAAATGCACTACTTTAATGGGTGGTGTAAGAAAATTAAACAATAACTTACAAAAGGGAATTGGATAAATATTTAGAAAGGACAAATTTGAAGGAGTATGGGCACAGAGCAGCAGGAAAATGGGACTAACTGGATAGCTTTCAAACAGGGGCTCCAGACACAATGGGCTGAATGGAAGATTCTATGATTCAGTGGCTCCAAATGATGCCGGTTTCACAATGCAGCAGATGAAGCTCAGTCTCCAACCTGTCTTCCCTACACCCACAAGGGCCATGGCCTCATGGTGTGCTCAGAGCCTCACACAGCGAATCACAGAGCTGCTTGTTTTGCAGTATAGCTCACCTCCTCCATGTACTCAGGTTCTGATGCAGATGCATCCCAGCGGTTATTGAGGATAAAAATGTTGGGTTGTGACAATCGTTCGTTGACTTTGTGAAAGAACTGCTTCTCCTGAAAAAGAAGACAAGGAGTTAAATTTTACCTTTGAACTCAACCAGTTATTGACGTCTGCCCACAGGTGTCAGTGCCTTGATAACTCAGCGCCTGCAGTACACAACTGAGTCTCGCACATTGTCTTCCTTAGTCTTGCCCGTATACGATGGTGTCTTGTTCACTCACCGTTTGCATTAATGTTGACTCAGAGTTTGCCACCAACACAAAAACATCAGCATCTAGGCAAAATTTATCAATCCAGCTGTCCAGCTCTGTGGTTACATCAATCCCAGGGCTGGGAGAAACAGAGAGAAAGAGTATCCATTAATATTGAGGGACAGAACAGGGTGCAGGCATTCACAAGACATGGGGCAGGGAGCTGGTAAATACCCAGCACGGGATAGGGAATTCCATGACTACAGGGCACAGGAGAGGGGTCTCAGTGACTACAGGGATATTGAATTGAGAGATCCCCCCAAGTACATCCTTTCATACCTGTCCATTAGCACCAGATCATCTCGCAACAAAGCGCATTTCATCTTTGGCCACATGACGGACACGAGACTACCCGCAGTGAGTTGTTGATCCTGGTGAAGCGCATGAGCCAAATGATTCACAGTCTATAAAAGACACAAGAAACAATTGAACAAGTACTTTTTAAATAACATAATTAATTCCACAGATCTATTGTTCTTTCTATCTCCATAGTACCTTGCAGTGCAAGCTTCAACCGTTACTATTCTGATGTTACTTGGCATTTGGTGCTGTCACGGAGACTGCTGATAATGCACCCATTTCCCTGTTCCATATGATCATACCATGAGTGTCAACTAATGTCTAACCTTGATGTTTCGTTTCTCCTCAGATCCATCTGTGAGCAGATAGGCCTCATTCCCATCTGAGCCTTCCACACGTAGGAAACAGTTGGTGGTGTGACCAATTCCAGAAGGCAAAACTTTGTCCCACAGCATAGCATTTATCACACTACTTTTCCCATTGCTAGTCCTGTAAACAAAATGCAATTAGCCTAGAACAAACTAGTAGAGTAGACACATCACCATAGAATGGCCAGGAGCTTGGAATTTCCACAACAAATCATTCATGACTTTATTGAACAGTAGAGTAGGGTTGATAGGCCAAATAGCTTGCTGCTGCTCCTATTTCTCACACTCATAGAGTCATACAGCTCAGAAACAGACTCTTATGATTTTAAGTCTGGGATAGCAGAAACACTGATAAATCTGCAATGCAATTAACGCTGTCTTTTGCTGGTGGTGTATATGACCTACCTGCCAAAAAATGCTACTTTCATGTGACGCCGTGCCAGTACTTCACTGATCCCTCCGACCTTTGAGAGATAACCTGTCACCTCCAGCACCTGCTCCTCTGTGGTGATGGGATCCAGCTCTCCATTCTGATGTGTCTCTATGCAATCACAAACATGAACAGAGATTAAGCTATGGCATCTCAGTTTCTGGGATTCTGGAAAGCAGCCAGGTCCCATGCAGCGCTCATGTTTAGAAATGAAGGCAGTTGCTGTGACAATCGGAGGAATAAGTGGATGTGCTTGAATGGACACACTGGAAGGGCACAGAGAGCTGCACAATCCCCAGTCACTGATACATTGAAGTGTGATACAGGCTATTCCATGTGACTGTACTGCTATCCACCACCATGCAATCCAGATAACCTGGGGCATGAGATTTATCTAGAGTCATAACTTTTGAACTAGCTGAAGTGGAGGTCATAATCAGTACAGGTCTTGGGGAGGGAAGTTCTTACTATGCTATCTCCCTAAGGTAACAGATGGATGCAGGTGAATAAAAATCCTGAGTGTAACTGCCACATTCCCATGTGAAGAGACTACATTGCACTTGTATCCAGAACATATATTTATGAGCTCACTGCCCTCCCCATTCAGCAAAAATCACTACCTACCTTTGAGAAACGCAGCACTCTCCTTGATGTAGGCTGTTAGCTGTTCAAAGATTCCATTGATTTTCTTTTTAGCCGTAACAAAGTGCTTGAGCGGAGAAGCATTAACCTCAGCCATCAGACGCTTATCTTTCTTACCAACTGCAACTGGGTGTGAGCGGGAGAACATCAGGGACATGGCACTGAAGTAATGAGAGAGAGAGAGAGAGAGAGAGAAAAAAAACATCAAACTCACTTAGAACCCATAGATGGATTGGCTGTACATGGGGCTTGGGGGTGGGGTTGGGGGTGGGGTGGGGGGGGATGAAGGGGTAAGAAAGCAGGGATCAGAGTCCAAGGAATACAGAGGCAGAGAGGATGTCAGTGCCCCACTGTAGAGGGTTGAGGGGGGTAACAGGCTCTAGAATGAGACTGGATGGGACGGGGCTATTACCTTAAGGACAGGACAAGACAAGACGAGGAGGGGACGGTGGCGTGCGCCCTGACACAGACAGGGCGGGCGGCGTGAGGTGTTTTATACGCGATGAGGCGCAGGGAAAGGTCTCCTGCGTCCAGCGTTGGACTTCGAAACCCTGTCAGCCGAGGCCGGGGCCTCTGGTACTGCTCCGGGCGGCGGAGGACAGTGACCTTGCGACATTGCTTGGTCCTCCGACTCGGTCACGTACTTTTTTTCCCCGATGCCGGCCTCTGCCTGAATCGTTCCATCGAGGATCAGACTTACATTTGAATCGCCGGGGCCTTGCCTGCTCCACGGCCACTGCAATCGGTCTGCAGCCGCCACCACCGCTGCTCCTGCTCCCGGGAACACCAACAGCCTGCGTCATTAACCCGCGACTGCTCCTCGTCATTAACCTGCGACAGTCTGCTTCCGTTACCAGGGAAACAGGATTCGGATGGAATGGTACCTTACTGGGGAAAGTTGTGTCCCGCAATGGCATAAAGACAAAATACTGAAGGAGCTGAAAATCTAAAATAAAAACAGAAACGTTTAGCCCATCTGTGAAGAGAACCTAACGGGATTGGTGCTTTGTTTGTAGAAAAAAAATCAGTTCTCTGGAATGATCACCAACCTGAAACTTCATCTGTTTCTGTGTCTAAAGATGCAGACAGACATGCTGAATATTTCTAAAATTTTGTTTGCAATGAATTTGCATACTGCTTTTCATAGCCACCAGATGTGTTAAATCATTTTATAGTCAATGACATATTGCTGGAATGTAGGAAAAGCTGCAATAGAGTCAAATCAAAGTAATCCCACTTGCCTGTGTTTGGCCCATACCCCTCTACACCTTTTCTATTCATGTATCTGTGAAAATGACTTTTAAATGTTGTAACTGTATCTGCATCTCCCACTTCCTTTGGCAGTTCATTCCACATATGACACACACTGTGTGAAAAAAATGCCCCTCAGGTGATAGGCAGTAGAGAGCCTTAATGCTTTATACAGTCTCAAAACGTAGCAAGTTATGGTTGATTCGGCCTCAACTGCAGTCTTGTGTCCAATTTAATGGATGCAACAGTTCTCCCATCTGCCAGGTGGAAATCCAGTGAGACCCCTTGTTTCTTTTTAGGGAGGTGCACCGGCACATAGCTGGGCAACAGCAGGTCTTCCCCAGCATCAAAGATCCTGAGAGCTGCTGGCCACTGATTGGTCAACAGGTTTCATTGACTGGTTGTGCTACCAAGGAGGTGCATAGGTGCTACCAGTACTACACCCATTGATGAAGTAGAATTGTGGATGAGCACTGAGATGGTGGGAAGGGGGAAAATACCACGGGATGGGGGTTTAACCGCAAGGGCATGGGGGTGGCTGTTAGCCATTTGGCCCCTTAATCAGGCACTCATGCCTCCTGCAAATTCCATAAGGGTCCCTGATAGAGTTTGCTTTTCAGGCCTCCTGCATTTTGACTCTTGGTCTGTCATTGAGTGGGCTGTTTAAAAATCTCACTTGGCAGCAGGGCAATGAATACCATCTACATATGCCTTCCCACCTTGGATTAATTGGGCAGAGATGGAAAGGCAGCTAGGTCCCCACCCACCACTTGGTTAAATGTTTCCCCCATCCCTGTTCTCAAACCCACCACAGCGGAGAGTTTAAATTTCACACAAAGTCTGGAGCTAACTAGACTGGCATCTGTGAAGCTGAGAAACTCAGGAAGAGGGCAAGGTGATTCATCAACTTGGCACTTTTAGCTAAACCTGGTTGTAGATGCTTCAGAGATCGTAGGAACTGCAGATGCTGGAGAACGTGAGATAACAAGGTGCAGAGCTGGATGAACACAGCAGGCCAAGCAGCATCAGAGGAGCAGGAAAGCTGACGTTTCGGGCCTAGACACTTCTTCAGAATTGTAGGTGCTTCAGTCCGTCTTTCATATTCTATGCCAGGCTCTGTCATCAATACGGATGGGAATGTTTATGGAGCCACACGGTTCTATTAGCTAATTGTTCATCACCAATCATGACTGAATGGTTGGACAGCAGAACTTTGATCTGATTCGTTAGTTGTGGATTAAAACATTAGAAACAGAAGCAGAAGTTGGTCACTCAACCTCTTGAAGCTTCATTGGCAGTTAACAAGATCCTGGCTGATCCACAACCTCAACTCACTTTTCTGCTAACCTGGATATAATTTCCTTCACAATCCTCTGAGTAAAGAAATTTCTATTGAGCTCAAGTCTGAATGTCCATCCCTTTATCTGTTTTTGTTTCTGATTTCCAGCACCCACAGTTTTTTTTAACCCTTTAACTACCTAGGTTCTCCACTCAGGGCAAACAGTCTCTCAATATTTACACTATCAACCTCACTTATATTCTACTCAACCTTCCCTCATAAACTAACATTTGCAATGTAGTTGAGTTACTCCAGTAACCCATGGACTTAATTGAGCAGAGACAGGCAGCACGGTGACTCAGTGGTTGGCACTGCTGGCTCACAATGCCAGAGACCCAGGTTCGATTTCAGCTTTGGGTGAATGTCTGTATGGAATTTGTACATTCTCCCTGTTTGTGTGTGTGGGTTAGGTGGATTGGCTGTGCTAAATTGTCCATAGGGTCCAGAGATGTGCAGGTTAGTTGGGTTAGCCATAGTAAATGCAAGGATATGGGAATATGGCTGGGCTTGGGTGTGATCCTGTTCAGCAGATTGATGCAGACTGGATAGGCCGAGCAGCCCAACTCCTCACTTTACAGATTCTATGATCCTCACTATTTCCACAAATTGCAATTGAAATTGACCAGTACCCTCCTACAACTTACATGAAATATTGTATCAGCAAAGAACACAGAAAATGTTTGATCATAATTTATTTGTTTTTTTACTTTGACAGTTCAAAAATCAAAGGACTAGAGATTCTGTATGCTCTCAAATCTTACTTTCTATGTTTTCCCTCTGTATATCTTCCTATTGAGAGCCTTCTAGTTCTGATCAATCTTTATGGGATCTCTATGAACTGTTAAATATTCAATGTGCAAATTTCAGAATATAGACAGTTTCTGATACTTGTGGATACACAGCCCCACCCTCCATCAGAACGAGTAACGAGTTGCAAAGTTTATCAAAAAATATTGCCTATGTTTTTCAGCCCTTCTCCAGATCTGGAATGAGAAGGCTACGCCCTGTGAAAGCCAAATACAACACAGTAGAAAGTTAAAAATAACCTTAAAAAGACAAAAAAAAACTTCTGAAAATTAGCCGCAGGAGTTGGGAAGAAGAGAGAAGTGTCTTAAACATTATTGATCCTTAGATATTTGACAGTGTTCCTATGAATCCCAAGATTGAGCCCTGGTGTGTCACCATTCCTCCATTAATCCAATCTTATATCTCTGAACATGTTAGGATATTATTAAATTGGAAAGGGTTCAGAAAAGATTTACCACATTGTTGTCAGGATTGGAGGCTTTGAGTTATTAGGTCAAGCTGGGAGTTTTTTCACTGGAACGTAGGAGGTTGAAAGGTGACCATATTGAGTTTTATAAAATCATGAGGGGAATAGATAAGGTGAATAGCAAAGGTCTTTTCCCTAGGGTGGGTTAGTTCAAAACTAGAGAGCATTTTTTAAGGTTAGAAGAGAAAGATTTAAAAGGGACCTGAGGAGCAACTTTTTCACACAGAAGGTGATTTGTGTGTGGAATGTGTGTGAATTGCCAGAGGAAATGGTAGGTGCAGGTACAGTTATAACATTTAAAAGACATTTGGATTGGTACATGAATAGGAAAGGTTTAGATGAATATGGGCCAAATGCAAGCAAGTGGGACTAGTTTAATTTGGGAAACTGGTCGGCATGGATAAATTGGAATGAAGGGTCTGGTTCTGTGCTTTACGACTCTATAATGGTAGTCTGAAGGGCATTTGCAGTATTGCTAATACTATTCAGTCACACTGTGGGTTCAATGCATGAAATCAGAGCTGTAAGCACAGCAGGGAGATGTTTGTATTTCTTGGGACATGATGGTTCAACTCTATTCTTGACACATTCTGAGACAAAAAAAAGATTGGTCTTTATAATGAGAAATGCTGGGGACAAAATGCCAAAAGGGGCAGTGACAGTTTGTGAGTTTCCAATTGCCATAAATGCCACCTAGGCTGGAGATATACTAGTAAAGATAAAGTGAAATCTGTAGCAGGATATATGAAATGCTCAATTTATTCTCAATCTGTGTTAATACTGAGACACACTCCTCAGCTTTGTTCTCCAAGGCGTGAATACTGAAAGCTTCTAGTGAACATACAACTAGCAGGAGTTAGGATATCTCTTAAAGGCAGGAGCAGCCCTCAGCCAACTCCTTATCCTTTCTCCTAGCCCTTCTAAACTTCATTGCTCAAGTAAATTCCTTCCCTTTAAGCTCTTTCAGTGGTACTGTATTTTCAGACTCTGAAGAAATTTCTCCTCAATTCTCTGATTACCACTTAGTTCCAATTTTGAAATTCCTACAACCAGTCAGTTTGGGAGTGAGTGTGATTCACAACTCAATCTCCTCTCCATCCCTTCCTACAAAGCTTATTGATTGAACTTTATTGTGTGTTTTTCCATCTTTAACTTGCTTCTTTTGCAAAGGGCACTGGCATTTCTGTTCCACATGTGAGAGTATTGGCAGATAATTAAACCAATACTGACAAAACCATCCTGTCCCAAACCACAAAACATGCATGCACATATCCAGTGGGTTTAACCTGACACAGGGCAGAGATTCGGTCACAGTAACCTCTCTGTTACCCTGGCTGTGAAGGAATGGGAGTACTTTGAACTCCAGGATTCGAAAAGAGCCAGAGCCCGATTTACGCAGGAAGTTACTGTATCCAACCATTTCAAGCTAAAATGGAATTGAATAGCCAGGTACCTCCAGCATCTAGGTTTCATGGGGTCTGCATAATATGCAATGGGGTAGCACTGTAACTTTAAAATCTGTGGATTACTTATTGTCCCATTATTAAAGGGAGGGGGCTGTGCTTTATCTTTAGAACCTACAAGTTAGATACATGTTGTTTTGGACTTGACTAAACCTCAGCCTAACTTCACAACTGACACAGTTGCACCTGGTGTAACTATCTCTTCATACTAAGCACTTGGGGAATTCTTTAAACCATTATATACAAAGTAGGAATATGGGCCATCCTTGCTGCAATATTCTGAATTAGGTCAAATTGCGGTATGTCACAAACAGTCTGTAACAGTTTCCGCTGCATGCACTCAGATTCTAAGCACTTTAATTAAGGGTCAACAAAAGAGACAGCGATGTATCTTGTGCCACTGGTCGTTGGAAGACCCTCGTGGTAATGGGTCAATCGCCCTGGATGCATGAGGGCCCAGCCCTTCCGAGGAGCCTGGATGGAACAGTTATACCTGATGAACCTGCAGCCACCTCCCTGCAAGAGACATAACAACCTTCAGTATAACAGCAATGGTTTTCTGTGTCAGAGTAAAGGCTAAACGTATAATGATCCAATCACAATGAGATTCAGAGCTCTTTTTTTTTCAAAGCACTGTTTAATAACAGGATACTGAAACATCATAAGAAATCTACTGGTTACATATAGTCTGTGCAGGGGCATACACAGTCTGTCCTGTTATACCTATAGTCAGTGCTGGGCCATTCAGTCCTGTTATACTCAAAGACCTGTGTCAGCTAGCTTCACAAACCCAAAGTAAAACTGAACCTTGTCTTTGTCTGTAGCCTACTGAACAAATAAAGTCTCAGCTATCTTAGGAGGCTGGGGAAAGGCGTATTTGGGAACCACAAGCCATTCAATCACAAAACAAAAGGTAGGAAAATAAATATTAACATTAAACATGAATGAAGACCAGACTGTAAAGGTGGTTCTGATATATCATCCTCTCCACAACACACAGAAAAAAGTTGGATAGTGATAACAGTTGGGAATTAACATTGGTTGGAAGGAGTGGGGAGCTGGGACTCATGAGCTAGGTGCTGAAGCCTGGCTACAGGACTGAGGTGTTTCCAATAATACTGCCTTTAACTAGACACACTGATTCAATCTGATGGAGAATTGCTGTTCCCCCTAAAGGTGTCAGAGAAGGCAAATATTCTACGTGGGACCAGGACTATTTGACAGCAACCTCTAACTCCATTTCCCACCTCACCTGTGGCAAAGACAAATGTTGGAGGAGTTTAAACAGACTCAAAGTGTGGAACTACTGTATATCTACCCCAAATACAAGCCTAAAATCATAAACTCAAATTATTCCATCTTCTTCAGTGAGATATCAGCAAATATTGAAAGCTATAATTGATTCCCCCTGTGAGGCCACTTTGATTAAGAAAAATCCCATGGAATGCATGTGAGAAATGATAAAGCAGACCAGGTACTGGTATTGCTTTCTTTCAAAAATTCCTTGTATTTATGGTTCACAAATTGCACCCTTATTGTAAAGTGAAACTCAGGGCTTTTGATCTTACAGCTTTTTCAGTCCTTAATATTAATCTTCAGTTCCTGATTTAGGGTTGATAGAGTAAACAGAGAAACAGGGAGAGACACAGACTGACAGATAGAGAAACATTGTGACATAGAAACTGACTCTGACAGAGAATACAGACAGAGATGGGCGGAGGTGTTTTCTGATCTTATCAGGAAAGCATAAGTTGGGTTCTTAGCAATCCAGAGTTTAACAGCATAGTTACTATTCTAATGAAATAAGTGTTTCATTTTCTGCATTCCTTAGAATCCAGTTTGTCTTCTCAACAACCATGCTGTCTTGGCAGACTGACTGACTTAAGTCCATCTGGACTCTTAGTGTGAATGGTGAATGAGGCAACCACATGAATGAGTGATAAGTGCAGAGTGGGCGGATAAAGAGTTTTGTTTTTAGAATTTACAGGAAAATTTGCAACTAAACCAAACACTTCAGGTAAACAAGCCACATACATTGGGATCAGTAACATTGTCCGTGGTCAAGATAGTTGGAGGACATTCTGAGATCACTTTAGCTTGACACTAAAAATCAAAACTGGTTTCAAGAGTTCTGGTTCAAACTGTCCTGGCTGAGTGAGAATCTCACAAGTCTTATTGTAAGTAAATACATAAACATCCAGCAATACCCTATTGTCAACAACACATTATAACTGGCAAATTATTGGAAGAAACCTCATGGATGTTTCTAGACACATCCTTATCTTCCCCACCAGTTTAAAGACCACCATTAGTTGAACTATCTGACCTCAATCTACAATGGCTGTTAATAGTTAGAATGATCATGCATCCAATGAGTTGGAACATTCCACAGCGCAAACATAACTTTAGAAACATGCAAGATCAGAATAAAGAGGAAGAATAAATTTACCAAATTCTGAGAACTTTGGGGTCTCCACTCAGCAAACTGCAGTATTCATATCACAGCCATGTGTTGATTCAGTACAAGCTCCAGTAGAATAGGTCATGAAACCCACTCCGTGTTGGAGTACTGAGTAAACCAGATAGGCTCAATCCCAAACGTCAGTCATACAACTTACCTGATAGTCAACTCCAACCTTGTTGAGTGCAATGTTTACAGTAAAAGTAGAAGCATCATGATGTGGCATTAAAGATGGCTGTTCATCAGGTTTATATCTAACTACAAAGGCCAGGTCAAAGAGAGCCTGTAAGAAAGAAAAGGGGTGTGAAGCAGTACCATGCAGCATCCATTACAGAGCAGACACTGAGGAGAGAGCACCAAACCCCATCTTACAAAGTCCTGTCGTCCCCAGGCATTGACTTCATCTAGGCCTCGAGCTACCTCCATTGTCATGACCACCTAGGCCTGGTACTTTTCCTGCATACAGCAGCAGCAAGGCCTCAGATTTCTCCTTCATTGCAGGCAAATCATCCTGCTGCATTCCAGCGAGACTGAATCAGTTTTACCTCATAATCAACTCCTGCCCTGTTTAGAGCTACGTTAATAGTGAAGGTTGAGGCATCATGGTGGGGTTCAAGCGAGGGCTGCTCCTCGGGTTTGTATCTCACTACAAAGTTCAGAAACGAGAACGCCTGGGAGGCAGAAATTTAACATGGAAGAAATAAAACCAGCATTAGTAACCATGGCGATAAAAGTCATCAGTTGTTACAGTTTATAATCATTTTAGCTGTTCATTTTAGTCCCTGCTCCTATTGGTTTTTATCCCTAATTTATTAAAGTAAAAGTTTATTACTAAGTAGAATAAGTTGGCAATTAGTTTATTTTCCTGATTTACTTTTACAGTTTCTTTCTAGACATCACTGCCTCTTGTGCGGAGTTGCACAGATACTGCTGCTTCTGCGACGACACCAAAGGGGTCATACTAAAGACAAAGAAAATGTTATGAAGTTATTCAACAGTGGCAGCATGAGAGCAAAGTCCAATCTGACCTCAACTTTTTCACACACAAACACTTTCTATAGATAGTAACAGGGCAGGGATCAGGAACAGAAGCTCCAATCTCTCATGGGCACACAGTGTCTTGTGAACAGTGAATTCCCGGTTACTATCTAAGTGACAGGGTATCCCAAGAAAATTCCCTGATCTGCTGTGAGAAAAATCAAAGGGAAATTTTAAAAAATGTGTTAAAAGATATTGGAAACAGCAAAGGGCTTTTTAATTGATTGGAGCAGTTGGCCTCTGATGGCCAGTATGGTAAAACTTCCAGGAATACGCCCAAGCAGTTTTGTCAACATTGACCGTGGAAAGGTTTGCTGCAAAGTGTTTCATTTCATGCTTGAACCTTAGGTTTCAAACACCAAGCCTTGATCAGATCTTAACATCTGCACTGCCTGATGAGGAAACTGTTAAGCTGAAGCATTTCCATAGCTGCTGCTATATTGTCATAATTTTAAGCAATTATAGAGAAGGTGAGAAATTACTCTAAATGTATTCAACAGTTTTAGTGTCTTTGTTTCCAAATCATTTTCTCAATTACTAAACATCTAGGTATAATCAACAGGAACTGAAATTCTGGTCCCTGCACGAATAAACTCAACATATTATTCATTCAAAGTTACGTTCACCGTGCTGTAGCAGAGGCAGCAGCCTCTTCAGTGAATCAATGAAGCCATATCGCCGCTCCGTCCGCATCAGCTGGAAATTTGCTTTGCAAAATGTAATTTATCTAGACTTGGTCTGCTGTTAGTTCTCAACAACATGCTGCTTCTTGACAAAACATATCAATTCTCACATGTATGTTGATCACATCCATCTTTATTTTACCATTACCTCTTGAAATTCCCCCAATGCCTCCAATTGTACACACCCTTTATCGACATACTGTATGGGATGAGTAGAAATTCTCTGCAACTAAATATTTGACAGATCAAAGACATTTTCCGTTTCTGTCACAAACACAGTTCCCTAGGCACCTAATCCACTTTTCCTGGCTACTCAGGGGGAGGTCTGGTCTTTTTGCAACTTTAGCTTTCTATCTGATTCTGAGCTGAGCTTCTGACCCCATATTCATCTTGTGACCAAGACTGTCTGCTTATGTATGTGACATCAGCCATTTCCATCCCTGCTTCAGCTCATCAGCCGCTGAAAACATCATCCCTGCTTTTATTCCCTCTCAACTTGAGTGTTCCAACATTCTTCTGACAAGCCTCCCATCTTTCCTCCTCCATAACCTTAAGTACCTCTAAAACTCTGCTACCCTCATCAAGACCAGGACAAGGTTTAACCATCACCTCTTTTCTCACTAATCTTGAATGACTCAGGTTTAAGATAAATATGTTACAATTTTAATCTTTATTTTTAAGATCCCTCCAATTTCTCATCCCTCCTTATCTCTGTAAGCCCCCCTGAGATTTCTGTGCTCTTCCAACTCTGGTCTGTTGGTCATTCCCTATTATAAAGGCTTAGCAACCACAGACTCTATCTCGACGTATTGACTGCTATTGCCTGAAGAATTTCCAGTCTCAGGGTGTGATTAAAAGTGACCTGTTTTCCTGGTATTACTGGGTTTAATTGGATATTAATGCATTATGTACTCTAGTAAAGCCAAAGGAAACAACTAACCAATCACAGAATGTACTGGAGAATGCAGCACTGGACAGCAGGACTGACCTTGGTGTAGTAGCCTGGGTAGATCTTTTCTGTTAAAGGTGCAATATATTCTCTTAAAAACTTCTGCCATTCTTTCTCATATCCAATCTGATTCATGTGAATATCAATTGTTGGCACATTTTCATATCCACCCTGAATACGTATGTCCTGAGATAGAAATGGAGAAATCATTTAGAAAATGTGTTCAGATACACAGAAGTAATACTTGATCTTTGATCTTTAGCATTCTCACCTTATTGTCTCCAGTTGACCACTGTCCATAATGCTCCATCTCCTCAACAATGTCATCACAGGCTCGTTCAGTGAAAATAGGGAACCAGTATACGTCTGGACAAGGCTGTAAAACAACACCAACATGTATCAGATATATGGTTTAGAATCTACCACATGGTCCAATTGCCTGTACAACAGGCAATTATTGTGTGTTGGACTATGTCAATCAATGTTCATGAAACTGGATTATCTCAAAATCTGTCACATTATCATACCTAACACATATACCAACATGGAATTTTATTGCTCTGCAGCACTTGTAGATGTCATGTGCTCACGTGCACATCTCACAGTGATCCCTACCAGATTTCACTACTGGAATGCAAGCACTACTTTTATCCTTATATACAATAGCTACACATTACCCTGTTGGCACTGTTGTCACATGTGAGCATTGCACATGACAATTACACTCAATTTTAAAAACAACAAGACCTTCTAGAAACATCAAAAATAGAACCATTTGATCAGTTATTACGATTCAATATGATCAAGGCTGATTTTCCAACTCAGTACCCTGTTCCTGCTTTGTCCCCACAACCTTTGATCCCTTTAGCCCCAATAATTTTATTTAACTGATTGTTGAAAACATTTCAGTTTTTGGCCTCAACTGCATTCTGTGGCAGAGCAAACAGCAGGCTCACCAGGCTCTAGGTGAAAAAATTTCTCATCTCAGTCCTCAATAGCCTACCCATATCCTTAAACCGTGAACCCGAATTCTGGGCTCCGCAGTCATCGAGAACATCCTAACTGTGTTTGTTCTGTGCCCTGAACCACCAAGAGTTGATCAATTCCAGCTTCACTTGCTGATCTCAATACACAATCAGAAGATAGCTGGGGGTGAAAATGGACTTCACTGTACACACTTCTCCCGAAGACACAATGCATTGTGGCAACATCAATTGCCAGATTCTAGCACAGACTGGATCAGGATGAGTATGTAAGTACTCAGATGTTGGTCCTGCAGTAGCCCATGCACTCATTCATATAGCAGATCCTTACCTGTAGAAGGATCTTGTTTTCCATTATTGAGCTGTAGTTCTCATGAATGTACTTGTCTTCCCAATCCTGTAACACAAACAAAGGAAAATGGATGGAATGCCATTCATACCTGTGGTGCTACTCTCTGCAGACCTTTCACTCTCTTTAGTCAATATGTCAGAGCGAGTAACTTGGACCCTCAACACAGCTATTCTGAATAATTAGTCAGAGATCAATTAAATAAACAAAGAGAAGGAGATGGTCCTTATTTTGATTCGACTTCATTTGGTATTTTAAAAGGAAAGTGCACAAACATTTCAGTAATTATAGCACAAATATTTGAATAATGAACTGGAATATATTGCTTCTTTCTTTCGCCCAAGCTCTTCCAGAGGCCTTGACTGACACCAGGAACTCTTCCACAATTCGGTGCTCTGCTTTGCTCAACGTTGAAGCAGACAGGAAGTCTGGGATCTCAAGGCTTTTGGTTCAGTCCCATGCTATCCATCACACTAAACAGAAACGAGTTCAGTCCCATTGCTGTACCTCAGGTTTAGAGGTCTAACTCCCACCTCCCCCACCATCTGCGTTTTTGGTGTACCTGTGGGTTTTCAGAGATCTGCCACAGGTCATTGTGCAGGTGATCAGTATGATAATTTGCCACGGAGAGAATGCGTCCAAATTCATGCCTGTTGGTGATGTACATGAAGATTCCCTACAGCAAAAAAAAAACAGATTAATCCTGATACTCAGAGGTGTGTGTGTGTGTCTGTGTGTGTGGGGGGAGGTGGTGGGGGGATCAAAACTTCTAATTCCTGCCAAGAGGCGCCATTTCCAATGCATAATCTCTGAGGAAGATGCACCTGGCGAGCTGCTCACTTGCTGGGAAGCAGCACACTCACCTGTTCCCTGATATTGTGACAGAAAGCCATGTCTGTGTCCAAGCTGCCAGCATGGTAGAGATCTTTCTCAGTTAGGACCGATTGAAGCAAAGTGCCTTGGATTAGGTATACACTGGAGATGTATGGAACATTCCAGAGGCCACTGCACAGAAATAGAGCACATTAGTACCAGAAACCAATTTAAACCTTTGGCAAATTATGCAGATCACTGTCCTTTCTGGGAACTATGAATGTCAATTCCCAATGACAATTCCTAATTGCTGCCCTTCAGCCTAACTGGTGCTTCTTTAACAGATTGCTGCAAATTGTATCCACATTGTTCCACTGGGAAACCATTCCATTTCCCCACTGCCAAGTATCAGGGAAACTATCATCTGCAGGTCAGTCCATTTTTTAAATTCATGAACTGTGGCTGTCACTGATAAGACTAATATTTATTAAGAGAAAACAGCGGTGAGTCACCTTCTTAAACTGCTGCACTCAGGTACTGTAGGTACACCCACTATATTGTTAGGGAAGGACTCTCGAGGTTTTAGTCCAGTGATGAAGAAACAGCCATGTCAAATGATTCTCTGAAATGTTGGTTTAAATCCAGTCCATAATCATGAAAGAGAATCTTTCACCACCAGCCTAATGGTTCAATAAGAAGCAAATTTAAAGTGAATCTGAATCCAGCTGTGAATGAGCCAAAGTGGATCCAATCCTGCTATGAAGATCAAAATGGGAGTGAATCCAGATTTCATCTAAATACAACTAGAATAGTCCACTGTGGAGTGAATCCAGAGTAGAACCAACCTAGTTGTAATTGTCCAAAGGGAAGGGAGTTTGCAATGGATCCACAATGCATGTTGCCCACTGATCATAGAATCCCTACATGGTGGAAACAGGCCCTGCAGCCCAACAAGTCCACACCAAACCTCAGAGCATCCCACCCAGACCCATCCCCCTATAACCCACCTAACCTACACCTCCCTGAACACTACGGGCAATTTAGCACAGCCAATCCACCTAGCCTGCACATCTTTGGACTGTAGGAGGAAACCCACGCAGACACGGGGAGAACGTGCAAACTCCACACAGACAGTCGCCCAAGGGTGGAATCGAACCCAGGTCCCTAGTGCTGTGAGGCTGCAGTGCTAACCACTGAGCCACCGTGCCGCCCTATATCTAGAAGTAATCAGCAATACACCAACAACTTTGTTCACAGTAAGCTGCAAAGAAAACTGATGCTGGGATTCTACTTTTGAAGTGAGTTTGCGAAAAGCATTTGTTCAGATTGTGGTGTCAGAGTCTGTGTGGCAACATGTGCAACAGATTGTTGCCCTTTGCATTTTTCAACTCGATGAGAGTGAAATGCTACCCAAAAATATAATTACTATACATATCTAATATCACTACTGCAATGACTCATGTGGAGATCAGATATAGGGCTTCTTGGTATATTAAGGTACTTCTGCCCATTCGGGAGGTGATTGACAATATCATAATGTTTGAGAATGAAAGTGTTTTTAAGGTTTTTAGGATTGATACTTACATTCTGCGTTGCTGAACAATATCCACATAATCCTCTGATCGGGCATAATATCCATCAACATCAAGTGCCCCCCAGAAGTTAGACCACAGCTTCTTGTGGCGACTGACCAGAGGTGCCAGTATTGGTCTACAAGGATCAAGATATTTGATGACATTTATTATAAAAGTTAGAGCCATTCTAAACTCAAAAAAAAGCATTACAATTCTTCAGTGCTTACTATAAGTAAGCTTCCATATCTGAAGGAATGTGGCTCTGAATTCCATTTCTACACTTAAACCAAATTCTTATTCTTTTTACCTGGTTTACAGCAGCTCAGGTTATCGTAATTAACATCAACCCCCAATGTAATGTGGCATAATATCATACTTCTCATCCACTGAGTATTTTGTAAGCCTCTGAAAGGTTACTTTCCGTTAATATTTTCCTTAAGGGCTTCTCATCAATGACCTTCCACTTCGATCAAAGAAATAATTAAAATTAATCAACAAGATTGTTCACAAGAGTTTGAGATGTGATAATACGTAAATGCAAATCTTTACGAAATAATACTGTTCAGTGTTAAATAATCCAATTGACACAGAGACTACCCATCACATTTTGCCATTTACAGTAGCTAACTCCTGAATGTCTGCAATCTTAAGTGACTTCACATTCATTTCCAAGGACTTAATTACCTCATGTTTTCCTGGCTCTCAGTTCACGGAGTATTCCTTTGCTGGAAGGTTTAAAACTGCTCTCTCCCCATTGCAGCTCCTTTCCACTTTTCTAGTCCTTTGCTCCCCTTTGTAGCCCCCGTCCCCACTTTGCAGCTTCACTCACCTACAGCCCCAAGGCCCTCACCCTCACCAGCTCCCTCACCCCCTGCACACCAGCTGAGTTTCCCAGGCTGCAGCCTCACTAGCCTTGCTTTCTTGCCCTTCCAATAGTTTCCGGCCTCACCAGCCTCTCTTTTCTGCCCCTCTCCACCCCCCATTTATCCCATCTACAATGGACAGCTTCACTTCATCCAGCCTCTGCAGCCTTGCTCACTGCAGCCATTCACTTTCTCTATGCTGTTCCAGTTACAGGCTGCCTCTCTCCTGCTTATCAGCAGCAACCAGACATCATTGGTGAAAAAGCTTCTCAGGAATTTTAACAGTTCCATGCATGGAAGTGACTTCTCTGCTGTTGGTTGCCCCCATTATGATACTTTCGAGGGCTTGTAGAGGCTGGTGCTGATTTTGCCTGCTGCCTCTGAGTATTTTGAGTCCAGCTATTATGAACTGAGTTGTTCAATACCTTTCCACTCAATAGTCACATTGGGCAGAGTTGGGCAAGTCTTGATGCATTGCAGATCTCTTAGATGTAGGAGATTGCCGGTCTGGCAATCCAGAAGGAACATTACCCTCAAATAAATAGGGAAGAACACTTAAGTATTGCGATAAGGGAAACTCTCCTTCATTCAATTATGGCTGGTCTGGTTGATAAATCTGGTGTTGTTGATATGATCATGTACAAGGGACCAAAGATATCATTTGCTGGTCATTTGTTTTGATTTATATTTCCTGTTGTGAGTGTGATAAACTGGATTTTTGGCGATTTGCCCCAGGTCTTTCTTAGTTCCATCAATGGGAGGAGGTTGAACCAGGCTGTTCGATCTGTCCACCTAATGTTCTTTTTTTATGTAGTTTAACACATTGAGTTTGTGCTGCTAAGCACTGAGACAGCTGGCAAAGATGGTCACCATGACCTGTTCTGATGATGTCATACTGCTACGATAATGCTTGCTCTGCCAGGATGCATTTGCACGTAATGATGTCATTGTGCAAGTGCTGATAAATAAAACACCTTTGCCCATTTGCAAATGTGTCATGAAACATGTGGGTGAACAGCAGCCTCAGGTTCACTCAGTCTATGGTTCTGCACACATTTTTCCAAGAATTATGAACAGTCTTTTCTCCCATTTCTTTCTTTCTGGTGGATTCCTAACCTCCTTCTGCTTTGCCTGGTTTCATTTGATTGCATTTCTTCCTACTATAATCCTCTACTTACAATGGAACACTGGGGACTTTCTGTCCTGCCATGTTGAAATGATGTTCCAAATAGTTAATGTCAGTGAGCTGATGATTAGGAGTTTAATGCAATTCTGCAGTGTGTTTAAACGACCAGTATCATCTTTGTTCCTGGCACCTACTGTTCCATTATTTTGCAGTGACATAACATCACAAAGAAGTGTTTCTGTAAATGCACCATCTCTGCTTCACCTTGTGGGGTGTTGACAGTAAATGAAGCCTTAACTCCTATCTCTCGCTCATCCTTCCCAAACAGAAATCAACTGGAAAGTAACAGATAAAGAGGTCGGTGTGTCAGGTGTTTTTTCTGACCTGTTCTGTTCAATGAGGAGTTTCAGGATGTCATGATTCAGTAGTACAACTTCAACGTCAACACTGAAGTAATAATCACATGTCACATCTTGCCGGCACAGGTCACTGTGGTCAGAAGATCAATGAGAATTAAACTGTAGATTTTGCAAACAGCAATTCTAATGCAAACAGTCAGAATTTTCATACAGATGCACCAGAACATACTCCTATGTCTTGTACTCCTATCAGTGAAAACAATTTATATTTATACACTGCCTTTAATGTAGTAAAATATTCCAAGGTACTTGACAGGTGCATAATCAGATTAAATCTGGCAGTGCACCAGAGGAGATGTTAGGATAGGTGATGAAAGCCTTATAAAATGAATAGTTTTAATGAGCATCTTAAATAAAAGAGAAGTGGAAAGATTTAGGGATGCATTTCCAGAGTTTAGACCTTAAACGCCTGAAAGGACGGTCACAAATTGTGGAGAAAAGCGTGTGAAGAATGCATGAGATTCAGGGTTGAACACACGTATATAAATGTGTACAGACACATTAATGTGCATCTGCAAGGGTACACACATACAATATGAAAGAGTAATACATTTACTTCATGTACACAATCCATTAACATTTCAATGCAAGGAAATTGCTAATAGAAATAATTAAAAACCTTGATTAAAGGATCACATTCTCATTTCTCTATTTAGAGTTGAGAGAAAGATTTTTCATGAACAGTTGCACTTCTAAGCACATTTCATGATTTCAAGATGTTACAAAAAGTAATCATTTTTCTAATGTTGGAAACAGCAGTCAATTTGCACATGGCATGGTCTCAGAAACAGCCATGTAATAATGGCTAGCTTATGTGTTTTACTGATATTGAGCATAATTTTTCTCACACTGGAGGTGGTAAAAGAGATGACGTGAAAGGGAAATAGTGGGGCAACTTGACATAGACAGAAACTCAATGCCTTTCACCCCCTCAGCAATGAAGTGCTGGGTAAGAGGGTCAAATGAGGACAGCAATTAAAGTCCTTAAGTGGTCAATTAATGGCCTCAACCTATCACCTCCCTGACTGCCTGCCTCCCTGCCAGGCAAGAAAAGTGGCTTAATTTCCTGACGGGACACCATCTTGACCCACCTACCAGATTGGGGTGGGAGCTTCTAATTGCTTCAATCTGAAGGCAATCAAAGGCATGAATGGTGAGGACGAGAGGTAGCCTTTGAAAGTCACACCCATGCCCTTCCCTCTAACCCCTCTGAACCCACCTGAACCTGTGAATCTCACCTCATGACGAGGAATTAAAATGTGACCACCCTTCTCACCTCTAGATCCCCCAAGGTCTCGGCTGGCAATCTTTGGGATCCAGAAGCTACAGACCCAATATGGGAAAATTTGGCCTACTGGTTAAGGGGTAAATATTGGTACAGTCTACTAAGAAATTCTTTGATCTTCAAAGCAGCTTTGTAGGATCTTTTATGTTTCCTTGAGAAGGTAGATAGGACCTCATTACATCTCATCTGAAAACAGATATCCTCAACCCAGAGTGCACTTGGGTGGGTCAATATGGATTATGTGGTCAAGTCCCAGAGATGTAGTTCGAATCCCCAGTCAAACGAAAAGTGCTAACAGCAGACATGATGCAATATCAGTGGACAACATGAGACTCCATTTCTAATTAATGCTCTTTGTTACTCACATCCCCATGTTGCGAGCATCTGCATTGGCAATCTCCTCATCAGGTCCAACTACTTTCACAGTCTGGTACTTGTCCCCATGTTCCTCCACAAACTGCCACACATGCTGCTCATGGTGGTTTTGCTGTTAATATAGAGAAAGAGGGAATCTCTAAGTATAACATAGCCAAATCAGACAGTTGCACTTCATCCTCTGTACTGAACTTCCTTTAGCACTGGCACTATCTGATAACATACCAATCAATATATCAATAGTTCTTTTTAGGAACCATTGAATAAACAAAGGAGTGATTTAGAATTTTCCCAACTGATCAGCAAGGCAAGGATTCCAACAGCAAAATAAATTATAGATAGCAGGATGGACACTCACTGTATTGTGAATGAAGATTTGGAGTTGCTTCTTTGGATAACTCAAATTCACTAAACGCTCAAAGAAATCCTCTACAAAGGGTGTCAGCTGCTCAATGAAGATTCCAATGAACACAGTAGGGAATTCACTGTCCTAAACATGAGAAAAACAAAATCACTCACCACTTTGCAAAGTGATCAATGAATCAGGATTGCAGATTTGAGAATGCTATTCATTCTCAGATATATCTCATAGCTGGGGGTACATGGGGAGATCTCAAATTTATCAGCTCAAGCCACTGGGTCGAGGAGATTTAATACTGCAAGTCACACTGCACCCGTAAACATCAATACTGACAAGGCTCAGGCTTAGGCGTAACTTATGGGAAGAAGGAAATACTGCCTGTCCCAGTTTACACAGCTGGTATCAAATAAAGAATTTGGACCAGAGTCACTCACCTTCTTTTCTGCTAAACTTATTGTGTCTTTATCACATTCTGTGCAGCCAGTTTCAAAGGTCCAGACCTTCGGAATGTAGTTCCCCATATAGTTCAGCTGCATCTTAAAAGTGAAGAATTCAAACTGTTAGAATAATTTGGTAGAAACAAGAAATGTTTCCTCTGGTTGAGAGTCTAGAACTAGGTGGCACAATTTAAAAATAAGGGGCATGACGCTTAGGTGCAAGATAAAGTTTTTTTTACTCAGATGGTTGTGAACCTTTGGAATTCTCTAACCTAGAGGTCTGTGGAGGCTTAGTCTTTGAGTATGTTAAAAGAGAAATTTTAAGATTTGTGATTACAAGTGGCATGCAGGGTTTTGGAAATAGGATAAGGAAAAGGCATTGAAGTGTTCAGCTGTGATTGTTTTGAATGGTGGGGCAGGCTTGATGGGCTGAATGGCCTATTCCTTTTCCTATGTGTGCTAGTGAGTGGGTGAAAGAGGTAGAAGAAGCATGTTTAAGAGAGAGGGACTAGAAACAGAATCAATGAAAGTGAGACAGGTAGAGACAGGTTTGTGAATAGCATCAGAGAATGTGACATAGTCAGATCAAATGAGCAAGAAAATGAGCTCAGGGAATACATAATTATATTTAAGGACTATGCGGAACTGGAACACGAAATTGTTTGGACTCTGGCTTGAAAAGATTTTGAAGGAACATGTGATTTCTGAGTGTCATGTTCAGCAGTAATTACTGAGTCAAATTTTATTGTGCGCTGTTAGCCACCTGCTGTTTTGTTGGAAATCAAGTGATTTTGGAAAGAAGACAAGCAAAGCTTTAAAGACAGTTAAGAGATCAGTTTAATTTCTAGACAAACTTGGTTTGGAAGAGATAGGACCAAAGTGCTGGAGGCTGACTAGTTCATCATTTGAACTAAAGTTGCTGTTTCAGTGCACAGGTTGGAGCATCAGTTGAAATAACAAACCTCCAAAAAGGTGGCAGCAAAAAAAAATTCTGTCCCTCACCTGAAAAAGAAGAAACTTTACAGCAGGATAACTGCACAAACCTCTCTCAGTGAAATACCTTCTGGGGGCCCGAGAAATTTCCAGAAACAAATATGCTTAACCGCCTCTTAAACTTTGAAAGCTGACTTATTTCTATTCAAAGTCCTAAGTCTAAGGCTATTCTCATTAAAGTGAAGTTGAAGTTTATTTAAAATAAACAACTTATTTTTTGAGTTTATTGAAGAAACCGGTTGATAGTCTCTCTTGTGCTTGATAATAGAAAGAAGGAGAAAAACATTCACCATTTTGGTAACTGAGTGAAACATTTACACTTCTACCATATCTTGTGGAGAAGATTCTTTTCATTCATTCATGGGATGTGGGTGTCGCTGCCTGTGCCAGCATTTATTGCCCATCCCTAATGTCCAGAGGGCAGTCAACCATATTGCTGTGGCTCTGGAGTCACATGGCAGGTGGGACTAGTTTAGCTTCGGACTATGGTCGGTATGGACTGGTTGGACCAAAGGGTCTATTTCTCTGCTGTATGACTCTATGTAGGCAAGACCAAGGAAGGATGGCAATTTGCTACCCTCAAGGACATCAGTGGCCAGAAGGATTTTTCTGACAATTGACAATGGGTTCATGGTCATCATTAGACTCTTAATTCCAGATTTTTATTGAATTCCAATTCCATCTGCCTTTGCTGGATTCAAACCCAGGTCCCAAGAACATCACCTGGGTCTCTGGATTATTAATCCAGTGATACCACCACTCGGCTTGATTACCAATGCACTGGAGATAAATTGAGACAGTGACTACGAAAGCAAGTGTGGAGAACTGGCATAAAGATAGAAAGTGAATGAATGGAAGAGTGAATGGCTGGCAGAGAAAGCGACAGGAATAAATGGTAGAGTAACAGATGAGTAACTAAGAGTTAGAGGGCAATTGTCTCAGTAGGAAAGGGACATTGTGAATGAATATGACAGCAATGATACACAGGCAAATTAATGGTAAAGTCATGTACAGAATTACATATACATGCATGCAGGAGGCCATTCAGCCAATCATGCAGCTGCTGGCTTTTTGAAAAATCAAATAATTTATTGCCACATCCCTGCTCTTTCCCCAAGTCCCTACTTAACATCGTTATAAGATGTCTAATTGAAACAGAAAATGCTGAAAATACTCAGCAGATCTGTAACATCTGTGAAAAGAGAAACAAAGTTAATATTTCACATCAAAGACCTTTCATCAAGCCAAAATATTAATTTTATCCCCATCTTAATTGGTGTGAGACATGAGGTGTAAGAAACAACTGCATACTACAATGTAGGATGTTAGAATCCCACTAGATGATCTGAATAACATTCTTGTTCTGTAATAAACTTGGGATTGTGACAGCAGGGCCACACCTACCTTTGTGGGACCATTTCCATGGATGATGACTGGCAATGAATTATACTCCATGTTTCGTGCTCTTACTCGCTTATCTTCAAACTTCAGAACCACTTCATCTGGCAATCAAGAGAGAGACCAGCAAAAGACAAACTGTGTTAGCACAGTTAAATCTCAATGTTGACTTTTGCTCTTAATTCTATTTACTTCCCTTGAAGTTAGTTTGTCAAATCTCCTCTAAGAATAAGACCATAAGTACCAGATTGTACATGCAACATATCTAATATAAAACAAAGTTCTGGAAACATTCAGAAATTAGTGTCTGAGGAGAGAGATTTCCCACTATGTGTTCCTGCTTGTAGCTCTCTGCATGCTGTGGGGAAAGAAAATAAAATGTTCATTGTCCAGTGATGGTTGCAATCTCAGCCTTCACTGGCAGCCAGCATAAAGGCAGTTCCCAATTTCCATTGTCTGCTTCAGCCAGAATTCAGTTGGTAATCAGTAACCAGCACCAGGACAGCTCTGCCTAAGTTCATAACTTCACTGACCAGGTTAACCTTTATTCGAGCATCTTGAACAACCACAACTGATGGGAGGTCATGCCCCAAGCACCACACCTGATGATCTTTATGAACTAGAGGTCACTTTTCTATGGAACTGGCCTTGAATATTAGGTGAGTTGACAATTGTACACTTATATTCTTTTCTTCTTTATTCTTTCATTGGATGTGGACATCGCTGGCAAGACAGCATTTGCTGCCCCCTCTCTTTAAATGGGCTCTTTGAACTTGAATGGAGGGGCTTGCTAGGTGCTTTCAAGCACATAGCTCTGGAGTCACATGTTGGCCAGACCAGGTAAGGATGGCACATTTTCTTTTCTAAGGACATTAGTGAACTTGGTGGGCTTTTATAACAATCAATGTTGACAGTCATCATCAACATCACTAAGACTAGATTTAACTTCCAGTTTCCAGTGTAATTGAATTTAATTGAATAAATTGAATTTGAATTCCACAAGCTGACATAGGGGAATTTTAAATCATGTTCCCAAAGCATTCGCCTGGTCTTCTGGATTATTCGTCCGCTGACATTACCACCACTCCATTGTTTGCCTATGTTTTCATAGCTGCTTTACGCTTGGATTCTTGATTGCGTGCTTTGTTGCCTGACTCCTGACTGTGATTCAGAAGAACAGAAAACACAGAGACATACCAAGTGCTCCATTTAAATTCTGGAATATCCGACATTTGTGGTCCAAGGTAATATTCAAACTTGCCTGGAAAGAAAGTGGAAACAAGGCAAATGTGAACAGGACAATCTCACTGCATTAATAAATAGAGCATTGTTGGTTACAATGGGCAGAAGGTTGTGCTGCTTCTAGGAGTGGGAAGTGAGGTCCATGGGGGAACTTAATTTTGCAGGAGGCTAAAATTCAGAATTCTAATGGAGGGGTAAACTTTTGCAATTAAGTACACAGAATTTTAAAGTGGGTTGAGCTTCCCAACAGTAAAGGTCTGGAAGCCCTTTTGTATCTCATGCATGCCTATTAAAGGCTAACTCACCAGAGGCTTCCTCTGCCAATTAATTTCTCCACGAGCAAGCAATATTTGACTTACAAATTCCTACTACATAACAGAGGTGTGCTCTAGTCAATCTCGTCATCTTCGAGAGTATTAGAGTAACCAGCCATTATTTTGTCCTTTTTGGGGAGTGTTTGTCTATTCCATGTCTTGATTGAGATTGGGTGATGGTTATCTAGGTTGCACAGTGCACAGAAGATGAGAAAGGAAAGCAGAATGGAGTGCAACAGACAAGGGGCAAGGAGGCTGGCCAAATTGGGCAAGTATATCTGTCGGAATGTAGGAGGTTCACCATTACTAGGGAAGGGTCATAGGTGAACGTGAATGGTGCAGCTACAGGTGGGAGTGGTTTCATAGGCAGGGCTGGTGGTTGACGAAGGGTACTGGGCCTAAAGGGTACTATCAGTTGTGTCAATGCTGGGGTCCTGGAGATTAAGTTAAAGATACTGGTAAGTGGCTGGGAAAATGACAGAGATAGGGGGTAGTGGGACTTGTGAGGATGAGAATTCCCAGCTCATGGAAAAGAGGCAGATGGTCACATGAGGGGGGTCTCTAAAGGTAAAGCAGTAGGTGGTTTCAATCCTGTGAAGATTTAGGATGGGCATGGGGAAGATGATGGCTATTGTCTCAGGGAGTGGTTGGGGAGCAAGACAGAAAGAAAGAGAGAGAGAGAAAGAAAGAGCAGGCATGTGGATGGCTATTGTAATGGGTCCAGTGTAACAGGAGGAACATGAAGTGTGAGAGAGGGGAGGTCTATCCTAACATGGAGTACAATAAGTTCAAGAATAATAGGTGGAACAGGAGGAGGGTAATATGCAGTGAAACTTCTGAAGTGAAAGTGATGCAGACCATTTCACCCTTCTCTAGCTCAGAGCAGAGTTCCTCATCAATAATGCATAGTTGAATTGAAAGCAGGGATTTGCAGATTGGAGGAGTTTCTGTAGAGTTCTGGGTGGTAACTAAAAGCAAATCCTTGTTATAATAGGTCAACTGCATGAGAACCAGGCTCAGGTGTATTCTCCTCTCTATGGTGAAGCCCTCATTTAGAGCAGAACTATCACTCCATGATTCAGGAGCCTCATGACATTGAAATCTCAGCAAGGTCAGGAACTGCAATGAAGTTTGAAATGAGGGGCATCCTCTATAGTTGAAGGCAGGCAAGAAGTGAGAACAGCAAAGGAATTAGTCAATAGATTGAATCCTGCAATTTGTTTACATCTATCCCTTTATGCTTAAATGAGGATGGGACATGTGAATCCTGCACTTCTACTTGCTCTGGTAAAGTAAGGCATCCCTGAACATGGGATCATTTTCTGCTGTGTCTATGACATCTCTGGGTAATAGTTTTGGAGGATGGGGTGCAACAAAGGCAGGATTAATGCTTCTGGTCAATAGCCGTCCAGATGCCCTTTAAATGAGGCAATGGATCCTTCATTTTTGAGAGGTAAGTCAGGGTAAAGGATTCCTCCTGTAAGATTCACCAAGCTACTTATACACTCATCTGTAATAAATTGAGATTTACATAATCACTTAAGAGATGCCAACCTGCTAAGTGGAAATGAAGGTCACTTCTCACCTGACACTGAACTTAGACAACAAAATGGAAGATTCCACCCAATGTTACTAAATAATACCTTACCACAGTGTTCCACTATTGCCCACTGATGTCTGTACTCTTTCAATGTTCTCTCCAGTTCCTTACCCTCTTCTTCGGATCCAGATATGTTTTTGTGTAAAAGAGTTGATCATCATGCTTGTCCTCTAGATCCCAGGGTTCCACAAGTTCGTAAATATTCGGAGCAAAGCCAATAAATCCTGAAATTTCCCAAAAGGATAATGAAGTTACCGCAATGTAATCCTGATCCTATTTCTACAGGGCATTGGAATATAGTAGTACAGAACTGAATTAAAGGTGTACATAAACAACCACATGAACACCTATTTGAAGATAGATACATATGAATGGAGGCACCAGTATAAATATAAACACATAAATGCTTTCACACATGGACGTGTTCATGTACACACTTTCATACAACTACAAGTTGTATGGAAACATAGCATTATACACAAGCTGCTTTACACATAAATAAAAGTAAAACACTGTGGAAGCTGCAGATCTGAAATAAAAACAGAAAGTGCTGGAGAAACTCGGCAGGTCTGATAGCATCTGTGGAGAGAGAAAGTGGGTTAATGTTTTGAGTCCAATATGACTTCTATTTGTAAGAACTGGATCCAAAGAATAGTCATGTGTGACTCAATGTTAACTCTATTTCTGTGTCCTCAGATGCTATTGAATTATCCAACACTCTCTGCTTTACACACAGATATAAATCCAAGCATTCACTGTGCCTGTTACGCTCAGAGGATGAACTTTGTGCAATGCAAACATGGAAACTCACCTCCGGAATTGAGGAATCGTTTGCCCTCCCTTACATGAGGGTACTGGACTTCAAGATGGTGATTGGGCCAAATAAAAGCCTCAGCAGAAAAGACCACATTGTGCTTAGCCTGATGAAACTTCTTTAGTAATTCTTCAGGCCCTGAAGCAAATATCACATCATAGCTGCAAAACATTACAAGATTAGGTAGTGGCAGGAAGGAGTACTTGAATTTAAATAGCACCACTCATAATCTCAGGAAGTTTCTCATGGGTTTTGAAGCACAGGCTCTATTGTAATTTAAGAATGCTGGCAGTTAATTTGCATGAAACAAGCTCCCACCAACTGCAAAGTGATATAGAACTGTTAATTTGTTCTAATGATGTTGTTGAGGGATAAATATTGTCTAGGACATGGTGAGAAACTCTCCCACTCTTCTTCAGAACAGGATCTCTTACACTCAGTTGAGAGATCAGATTGTCAAATCTTATGTTGTGAGAACTTCATGACCCATCCCATGCGGGGAGATCTCATACAGCTGGAGTGTACCTGTCCACAAACAGAATAACCAGTTCCTTCTCTGTGGCATATGATTTCAAGGCTTGCTTCAGAATCCGTACTTTCTGCCCGCCTCCTGAGGATTTTGTCACGTCTCCACCTGTCCACTCCTCACCCAAACCCAACACCTACAAAATACAAAGAGGGACAATTTTAAATATTAAACACCCATGGGATCTAGCAATGCTAAATGGCCTTTGAATGCCCAGTCAGGAATGATCTATTTTACTTATTAGGAGCAGGAACTTGATACTGGGCCAACATCAGCTAAAGTGTTCTGACATTGTGTTGTTTTGGATTTGTTACAAATCATTGGCCAAGGAGGTGGGGTGCCTGAGATTTTTTTAAATTCATAACCTCAGTTTTGGAATATCATTCGTTGACATCACCCACATCCAACACACAAGATGACAAATCAACCAATTATTCCTCTTACGGCGCTTGTGGATTTTCAGTCGCCTGGCTGATTTACTTATTGGTAACACGCATTCGACTAGTGTTCTGATAATTAAACCCTGCACCCAGCAGTTTGCCCTCCCCTCAAACTTGCTGAATCTAATATATCCTGGTGTTTAGGGGATAGGATTTATCCAACAATGATGTCAACAGTCCCAAATACATCCTTTTCCCAAACTCAAATCTCAGAATAATCTAACAGAGTGAACTAACTAATCAGAACCTTAAAAACTGAGTAAGCAGCTGGGTTGACAACAGCATCTAGTTCTGAGAACATTAACTGCAATTAGAAACTTTATAAAAACTTTATCACTGTTTCAGTCCAGTCAATCAGCAGTTCATTTGACAGAAGCGTTTTGCATTAGAGAGCAACTTTATTGGTCTCTGACACCAGTTGCTGATCTGTTCTCATTGCTATTGTGTTAGTTGATAAATAATTTGCTCCAAATTATGTCACCTTAACCGTGTAATTGAAGAAGTTTGCAGATCTCATGAATCGCATGAAGCCATCTGTTTCTTTTGTGGCAACAGTGAAAACCAAGAGATTTTCTGCAGGAAACAACAAAAAGGAGAGTTTATGGCAGAAGCACAGCAATTCCCAACCTACACCCTCCTCACTGTAATCCACAGTCATTGACTCACAATATATACAGGTCCCACTGCAAACCATGTACACCAACTCAAAATCTACACCCTCCCCACTGTACAGACCATGTTTTTTGTATTTTTGGTTGTGAGAAAACAACTATTTTAAAAGTCAGGGTTTAATGAAGAATTGCTGCATTTTAAAAAAGTAATCTGTCACTTATTGTAAGTGCTGTTTACACAGCTGCTTGTTTAAGCGGTAGTGGAAGATGAGTTTGCAGATGAACTACAGCCAAGTTTGCATATAAATGTAGCTTTGCCTGGCAACAAGTAGCTGCTTGGTCTGTGGGTTAGTGGTCAGTTATCAATGACAAAGGTCTTCTGGTTGCCAACAACTATTTGATTGACTCTCAGTTGGCTGAACAGTCTTGCTGTAAGCTGTGACTTAACTGATAAATCAAAGACCTTTAGAAGTGGGAACTAGTCATTTTGTGCCCCCTGAAAACAGGTGGAAGTATCTGGAGAAGGAAGATAAAGAAGCAGTGTGCTGGTCAGCCCAAGAATCATCTCAGCAAACCCTATTGACAGGGGCCATTGAACTGCTACTCCAGTCTTCAATTCCACCCATGTTTTCTTTACCACATATGTATTTGAGTGTGTGTTTAGAAAAAGGGCAATTATAAAAGGGAGGTGGAGTTTTAACTCAAGTGGAGTTATAAATAAATGGTTCATAATTTTATTGAATTCCTACATGGAAACAGGCCATTCGGCCCAACAAGTCCACACCGACTCTCTGAAGAGCATCCCACCCAGACTCATCCCCCTACTCTGCCCCTGTGACCTGCATTTCCCATGCTAATCCACCTAGCCTGCACATCCCTTGACAGTATGGGCAATTTAGCATGGCCAATCCACCTAACCTGTACAATTTAGGACTGTGGGAGGAAACCGGAGCATCTGGAAGAAACCCACGCAGACATGGGGAGAATGTGCAAACTCCACACAGTTACCAAAGGTGGAATTGACCTCTGGTCCCTGCTGCTGAGAGGCAGCAATGCTAACCACTGAGCCACCATGCTGCTGTAATTGTTTATTTGTAGTTACAACCTATTTATTTGAAATAGTCATTCTTGTTAAGTACAGAAACCTAGTCTATGCTTTCTGTCAAACTGGGCCTAAAAGAAGATAAATTAAGGAATTCTGCACACTTTCAAGAATCTTTAACTTTGAGGACACTTCTGAGAATAACAGGGCTTGATTTCCAGCATGCTACCCCAGTGAGGCATAACACCACACCACGGGCTCACAACACACACTCCTCCCCAATGGAACTTACAAACATACCCACCCCAGCAAAATCCCCAGAAATTAATTCACAACTCAGGACAATAGAAGCCTCAGTTTAGCATTTATCTGAAAGATGGCACCCCTAACACTGCAGCAAGTACTCCTTCAGTTCTACACCAGCAGTATCAGCCTGGATTACACACTACATTTACTGGAAAGAAATTTGAACATATAATCTTCTACCTTACAGGTAGAGATCATACCCTCTGAGCTATTATGAGGCTTAGAAATTTGTAGAGGGACAGACTGATTTGGGATTGATTACAATGATGGACTTGGTGACTGTGGACCCAACTTGTTGAAAGAGGAGATTGTATTTGTTCAGAACAAGTCTAACAAACAGGCATCTCTCGTAATTACATTTTCAATGTACATTAGACTTAATATTTATACTTCAGTTGGCTGTGAGGCCATCTGAAAATGGGTCAGGGAGTTTAGTCCAGTCAAGACCGACTGGGGAAAGATGACTGCCTGTCAACAAAAAGGTACTAAGGATGTGTTAGAATATGATGAGTGGTTTAAGACAGTCAAGTTGGAACATTCAGGATTGACTGACAGGGGCCATGAAGATGTAGGCCAGAGCTATTTAGGCCCCCTGTGGGCCACTTTTGTGGCGGGACTAAAGCCCGAACTAGCCAAAATGTTGATGGTAATAAAACCGGACTGGGAACAAATGGGAACTATATACGGAGAACTGGTGGAACAGTGTGATCGTCTGGACAGATATGCAAACGAAGGTGAGGACGATACATGTCACTGGAGGGTGATATGCGGCAAAAGCGGAAAAACAACTCAGCAAACGTTACTGTTGTGGGAAAGAGGAGCACTGCGCCGAGACATGCTGAACTAAACAACGGGAAAAGCGAACTGGGGGAGTGAAAGGCAACCCCCGACTCAGGGTCAGCCCCCACCCCCCGCCTATTAGTAGACCATATCAAGAACATGACAGTCGAGCAGCAGAATGAGATGTTGAATATGACAAAAGACCAGACCTCACCCCTCTCCCTCGCCATACTCTTGAAGGCTCTAATACAACGAGGGGATGGAATTTACATCCCTACGAGGGTGGACAACTGAGAAATACCAAGAAATCTTTTGGATATCGGAGCAGAATTAACTGTTTACTTCTGTACTATGGAAAATTACTACCCCTGGATGGGAAAACGCAAACAGTACAAGGAGTGGGAGGTGAAAGTCTCACTCTGAAAAGAACACATCCAGTGCTCATTGAATTGGGTCCACGTGAATTAATGACCTCGGTGTGGGTAGGACCGATTGAACAAGCTCTCTTGGGAATGGACATTCTGATCTAGGTAAACTCTTCCTTGCACTTTGAGGATGGTAAAGTGACCTGGTCGATAAGATGCATGAAAAAGGAAGAGTTAAGAGACCATCCAATCTGGGCAAAGGATAAGAACTATTGTGGCTTGCTCCAGATGGAACCAGCATCATTCACTGGAGTTGCCCCTCCATATACCAAACAATACCCCTAGAAGATTTGAAGCTCAGGTTGTGGATGAAGTTGTAGACTTGCTCGCTGAGCCGGTGGGTTTGGTTGCAAATGTTTCGTCACCCTGCTAGGTAACACCGTCAGTGCACCTCCAGTGAAGCATCTGTGTTCTGTCCCGTTATTTATATGCCTCAGTTTGCTGGGGTGGTTGGAATTACTTCTGACTCTGTTTCTCAGTGGTTTGTACACAGGGTCTAATTCAATGTGTTTGTTGATGGAATTCCGGTTGGAATACCAGGCCTCCAGGAATTCCCTGGCACATCTCTGTTTGGCTTGTGCGATTACGGATGTGTTGTCCCAGTCAAATTTGTGTCCCTTGGTGTCCGTGTGTAGTAAGACAAATAAGACTTGGTCGTGTCTTTTGGTGGCTAATTGGTGTTCATGTATCCGTATTGTCAGTTTTCTTCCAGTTTGGCCTATGTAATGTTTCTCAGAGTCCTTCCATGGTATTTTGTATATTACACTGGTTTTACTGGTTTTGGGTATGGGATCCTTTATGTTTGTCAGTAGCTGTCGTTGGGTGGTTGTTGGTTTGTGGGCTACTCTGATACCTAGGGGTCTAAGTAGACTTGTGGTCATCTCTGAAATGTCCTTGATGTACGGTAGGGTGCTTAGTGAGTCTGGTTGTGTTGTGTCATCCTGTTGTGGTCTGTCACAGAGGTAACGATGGAATGTGTTTTTTGGGTATCCATTCCTTTTGAAGACTCCGTATAGGTGCTCCTGCTCTGCTTTGCACAGTTCCGGGTTGCTGCAATGTGTTGTGGCTCGTTTAAGTAGTGTCCCGATGCAGCTCTGTTTGTGGGCAATGGGGTGGTTGCTAGAGTAATTGAGTATCTGGTCCATATGTGTGGTCTTTCTTTATATGCTAGTCTGGAGTTTCCTGTTGTTTTTGTATTCTGCCATTATGTCCAGGAAGGGTAGTCAGCTGTTGTTACCTTCTTCTTCAACACGACCAGACTTACTAATCACCCTACTGTACATCAAGCTGTACCATAATAAAGTTGTATCTAAATCTACCACCGGACTCTCATTGGAAAATATAAGACCTAACATTCTGTAAGAATTAACAGTCACTTAATAATCAGAAGCCATCCCACTCCACCCTCAACAGCTATTAAAATACTGGCACCATCTGTCAATTTTTGTCCTCAAGGCACAGAAATACAAGAGCATGGAGTTACACTAGAATGTACAAAATGATGGTTAGCCAACAATTAGAGTACTGCACGGAATATTTCAGATCAACATATTATAGGATAGACGTGATTGCAATAGAGAGAGTGCATAGGAGATTCACCAGGATACTTCCTGAGCTACGAGGAAAATTGGATCGTCTGGAGTTGATTTCCAGCAGCAAAGGTTGGGAGGGGACCTGATAGAGGTATGTAAGATTATGAGGGGCAGAAATAGGGTAGATAGGAAGGCACATTTTCCACTAAGGGATCAATAACTCAAAGGCATAACTAAAAGACCAAAGGGAGAATTGAGGTGGTTTTTATTCACTGGGAGGGTGGCGTGAGTCTGAAACTCACTGCTTGGAAGAGTGTTTGAGTTAGAAATTCTGGTGACATTGAGGCAGCACTTAGATATTCAGTAAAATAAGGCAAAGAACTGAGGATGTTGGAAATCTGAAGCAAAGACATAAATTGTTGGAGAAGCTCAACAGTTCTGGCAGCATCTGTGGAGAGAAAGCAGCGTTAACTTTTCGAGTCCACTGACCCTTCTGCAGAACTGAGTGATGTTCTAAAGAAGAGTCACCGGACTGGTTAACTTTGCTTTCTCTCTACAGATTTTTATTATTCATTCACAGGATGAGGTGTGTTGCTGGCTAGGCAGCATTTATTGACCATCCCTAATTGCTCAGAGAGCAGTCAAGAGTCAACCATATTGCTGTGGGTCTGGTGTCACGTGTAGGCCAGACCAGGGAAGGATGGCAGACCTGCCCAGTTTGTCCAGCAATTTCTATTTTGCTTTTAACATTCACTTGCGTTGCAATCGCCTCCAAGGCTATGAGCCACAAGCTGGAAAATAGGATTCTAGTAGTCTTTTTTTCCTGCAGTCAGATCTTTCTTGACTGGTGCAGGCGCAGTGGGCCGAATGGCCTTCTGTGCTGTAAACGTCCATGCGTTTCTCTCTATTACAAATAATTCTTCAAAAGATTTAGTCTAAACCATGAGGATGTGTGGGGTAGGGCTAGGGCTAGGGCTAGGGGTGGTAAGTGACCTTCAAATCTCCGGTTAATCAACTGGTGGAGAAAACATGTCCATGATTTTACTGAGCGCAGAAGCAGAGCTGAAATGAATGAAGCCTTCCACACTCTCACCCCGTACAATATCAAATCGCAAAACTACCTGAGAGTCTGGAGTAAAAACTGGACTAGGAACGAGGGAAGTATCCAGTGGCTGCAGGAATATAGGGAGTTAAATCTTGGCGATTGAGTTGGAAATGGGCGGAAAGCTGGCGGAGTATGTTCCAGAGCCTGGGCTCAGAATCAAAACAGAGACTGAGCCGCTGATTCCATTATAACTCGGGCCCTCCCATTCCACTCTCCCAGCCTTTTGGGAAACTGCTCACCCCTCCCCCATCTCTTTCCACGTCAGCACCTTCACCCACCCCCGAAAAAAACATAACCCCAAACAGCAATTGAATAAAGATTCAGGAGAGGGTAGCCACAGGTTCCAGCCCTGATCCCTGCACAGTCGCCCCCGATGTTACAGACCCCATTCTCCGTATTATTTACTAAACAACTAGATCACTTTTGTTTGAACGCCCTGGCTCTTTATGCATCCCCTCCTCCGGCATTTATTCCAGTTGGGGCCCCAAGACGCTCCCCTATGCTCACTCATTCACTTAGCCCTTACCAACCGCGCCCCCCTTCTCTCCTCTAAACTCCTCTTACAATCCCGCCCCCATCACCTCCTCCCCACTCTCAATCGACCCCGTTCCTCCTCACCCCCACACAGTTGCATAGTGGTTTCCCTGTATCCCAAAAAGCGACGTTTCTCCCTTCTTTACAATGTTTCTCCATAGCACCCCTCCCTCCTTATCTCCCCCATTGCATCCCTCGTCGTTTACCTTCCCACCCCTCTCTTATTTCCCCAACCTCTCATTAACCCTCTTCTACATTTCCCACCATCTTCACCTGCCCCCTCTTCATCTGCTCTATTCCATGCTCCATCCCACTCTCCTCAACTCACCCTTCCCTAACCCCTCAGTCCTCTTTTCCCCATTTCTTCCTTTTCTCCCCATCCCTTCTCCTATTTACTCCCCTATTCCACCCTCCCCCCCTCCCCTCCCCCCACCCCCCCCCCCCTCCCTTCCCCCCCCCTCCCCCCCCTCCCTTCCCCATTCCTCTCCTCCTCTTCACCCTCCCCATTCCTCTCCTCCTCTTCACCCTCCCCATTCATTTCCCCCATCTCCCCATTCCACTCGCCCTCCTCAACTCCGCTGCCCCCGTCATGTGCCTTTTCCCTCATCCTATCCTTCTCCGTTTCTCTCTCCTTTCTACTCTGTCCCCTGTACCTCAATCTCCGCACTTCTCTTATTTCTCCCCAAAGGATTCCCCCTCCCTCTCTTCCCGCAGTCTTGGAGATACCTTTCGGAACCGGATTTTTCCGAGTTTCACTTTTACAAACGCGAAATTGGGAGGTTAAAATCAGGACCGGTAGGATCAGAAACAATGAGCAAACTCTTCGAACGCAATCCATTGCAGCCTCCGCGCTTATTTCTGTATTGTCTCCCTCAATCCTTTCTTCTCGACTTTCCTTTTCAGAGCTTAAACTGGGCCCAGGGCTACAGCATCGCCTTCTATAGGGCAGCGCGTCACTTTAAACAGGCCAGCCCCTCTTCCCAGGCTCTCCCTACTGCCCCTGACTCACGTACACACAGACGGTGCACATACTTAACATACACGACACACACACATAGATGGAGCTACTTAATGGGTTCGAATCTTCTGCTGTGTTGCTGTTCTCCATCACTATCCAAAAACCTTTGGATCAGAGATTCGGTAAATCAATCAGCTTTATTTCTCCCGATCAGTGTCCACTGATCCCTCGTTTAGAGAGAGGACATCAGATAGCTTTTCTGCTCCTCATTGCTGTCTAGTAATGCATAGGTTAGAGAGGGGAAATCATTCCTGCTCCTAACTTCCGTTCAATGATGCCTGGACAAAAGACTTCTTGACCCTGAACACACTTGCCACACTTGGCTTAGGGAAACGGTATGTAGCCTGGGGGGCTACTGCACCCGATCCGTGGGTTAGAGAATGAGGGGAAATCAATCGAGGTACCTGCTGTAGATCACTATCTAGTAAATTTTGATCAAAGGGAGGGGATATCAAACGAGGCTCCTTCCCCTTATCACTGCCAGTGGATCCTAGCTGAAAGTTAGTAACGAATTCTGCCCCAGATCATTAACACTCTCTGCCCCAGATTTCCATGTGGGAAATCAGCCTAGGTTCGTGTTCCTGATCATCACCAGTGAGTAGGTGGAAGAAGTGTATAGAACTGTACACAGCAAGAGTCAACAAACTTCAGGGAGAACACTGGCAAAAAGTACCAGTGTCAATGTGGCTCTTGTCCAGTATTAGCAACTCCCTTCAGACCTGATAAAAACCGAAAGGACTGCGGACGTTGTTAGTCAGGAACAAAACAGAAGTTGCTGGAAGAGCTCAGCAGGTCTGGCAGCATCTGTGGAGAGAAATCGAGTTAATGTTTCGGGTCCGGTGACCCTTCCTTGCTCAACATTGTTTTTGCCCCCTCAGACCTGGACCGTGCTCATTCCTGATCGCTAGGGGGCGTGGCCAAGTCTGCATGGGCCAAAGAATTGGAATCCCTGGGATGGTGTCCTGAGGGGGCGGGACCACAGCGGGACCGGGCGTTGTCTGAAATGTGGGCGGGATCATAGCGGGGACTCGTGAGGGACGTAAACAATATTGAGGGCGGAGCATTGAAGGGGCGAGGTCATCATTGGAGGGCGGTGTCACTAAGAGGCGCGGTCGGCACTGGAGGGCGGGGCTCTGAAGGGGGGGTTAGCTGCGTAGGGCAGGGTAACCATGGGGCGGGGCCCGGGCGGGGCATCGTTAAGATGGGGCGGGCCCAGTGTTCGTTTGAGGGCGGCGTCACGAGGAGGCGAGTCAGGATGGGCGTGGCTTTTGCGCGCGGAAGTTTCCCGTTTTCTTTCATGCGGGGGCCGATCCCAAGCTGTCGCAAAGTAAGCTGGAAATATAACGATGGTTCCGGGTAAATCTCACTGATGGCAGAAAATCTGACAGACGGCAGTGTTCTGTGAGGGTGACAGGAGCGAATAGAATCAAAGTGGAAATAGATATTGGCTGAAAGAGGACTGGATTTTTAACTGACGTTGTGCAAGCACTAGGAACTAGAGCTGAGAAAGGAAATTTCGACTTTAGAATAGTGAGAGATGAGAAAGATCGAGAGCAGAGCAAGAGAGAAATGCTGGAGGAACAGATAGAAAGAGTGAAACACTGATGCTAACAGAGATAGAAATGAACTGAGTAGGAGACAGAGGAGGGAGGGAAGGAAAGACAGAGAGAGAAAAGGAGCAAGGGGATGAGTGAGAGGGGGACAGACGGTGGAACAAAAACAGAGACTGCAATGAACTGGAAAAAGAGCGATAGATTAGGACTCAAAATTACTTGGTGTGGCTGTCAGAGGGCTTGTTTTCTTGTACCAGTTCCAGAGAAGGAATTAAATTGATGTAACTGTATGGAAAGTGGATAATAATGGGAAAATAATACAGAAGGTAAAATTGCAGGGTTGACCTCCTAAGTAGTATTATCAGCATATTGTGGAGAGGTTGTGTAATTGAAATTTAAAATAGGAAGACAAAGTTTTGTGATTTGTTTTTCTCCTGTGCTCTTGCCCTCTTCTGAGACCTGTTAGAAAAAGGAGTTTTTGGAAGCAGAGAGACTCTGCAGGACGAGTCAACACTTCAATTAGAAGCTGGAAGACAAAGGACGAAGGGAAGTTTTTAGTGGCCAAAGAATGTGGTTGCAGCAGCGTTTGAAGGGATTACCAATGCTGCTTTCAAGTAGCTGGGCCAGAAGAATGCTGGCAGGCCTAGGTATCCTGTTGATCTTTTACTGGTACCTGGCATCAGAAAGTGGGTTCAGGTTGTTCCCTGGCTCTGAGGATGCCAAGACAGTCACAGACAGTTGTCTTCAGGTAGAGACGCAACAATGGAAGGCAGCTGTAGAGAACAGCAATGGCCTGATGAGTGTTATTGGTGGAGACAACACAGGACAGTTATCTGGCCCAGCTGTGGTTGGCAATGGTCATCTAGTTGTGGATGCTCTCTCCAATCAGCTTTGGGTAGCATCAGCTCCTGCCTCAGGCCTTGCTGCCATCCACCTGACAGATTATGTGCCATTGGTGGTTTTGAAATCACTCAGTGTTCGTTCAGTATCCAGAGCTGCACTTATCCACTTTCAGGAGGGACTGGTTCGGTTGTTCCAGTGTGTACAGGTCGGACTATCCCACAAATATCGGGAGTGTATCACTGTTCGTGAGGATGTGATTGTGCATCGGAGCAGGCCCCACCTTATACTGCAGAAGATTCACATTTCCAACCCCAGTGACAGGGCTACAGTCTTTGAAGTCAACAGCAAACCGTCCATAGTTGGAAACAAGTTTTCCTCTAGTCTAGAGAAGCACAATGACCAGGAGTTTCTACTCTTATCAGGGAGAGTTCTGACAGAGGAAAGGGAGACCATTCTAGTGGTGGTGGCCACAGAGAAAATGGCCAACAGGCTGCAGTTAGCAGCAAAGTCTGAATTCACTGAACATGTGGTATCAGTAGTTTACACGCTTCAGTTAGTTGACTTAACAAAGTTGGAAGAATCATTCAGTAAACTGAGAGATGCAGCAAAATCGGAAATGTCTGAGCTGCTGAGAATGGGAGCAGAAGAACTGTATCGTGAACATCAGAAAATGTGGGGTGATTTAATAATCTCCGGTAAGCTACTGTGTGTAGTTAAGATTGATCTTCACTGTGACCCCCTCTAATAGTTCAATAATGTATTGATGTGTAGTGTCTAGACTCGCACAGAACAGATGTTGTGTTCCTGGAAACGAGGGACAATACTTATGAGAAAAAAGCCAAGAACCCTTGACCTGACCTGTATTGAGATATTAGTGTATCACACCAGATTCCTCCTCCTGGAATCTTAGTTATATTTATTTTCTGCAGAAATGTATTTTACTTAAGTATCCTTAAAGCAGCTTGACAATCTGAAGCACTAACACTTTTTTCTGTTTCTACAGATGCTGACTTGCTAGATGCTTTCAGCGTTCAGTTTTTTAAAAAAATATTGCGTCTCTAATCTCTGCAATATTTTGCTTTTGTTTCATCTGGCAATTAATCAGTCTCTCTCTAGTGTTTTTTTTACTCTTATTCTTGTATGGGATGTGGGTACTGCTGGCAAGGCTGGTGATTGTTGCCCATCCCTAGTTCACCTGAACTGATTAGCTCTGTAGAGCATTTCAGAGGGCAATTAAAGTCAGCCATATTACTGTGGGTTTGGAGCCTCATGTAGGCCAAACCGGGTAAGGACAGCAGACTTCCTTCCTTAAGGGACTTTAGTGAATCAAATGGGATTTTACAACAACCAATAATGGTCACCGTTAAACTAGCTTTTAAAGTCCGACTGTATTGAATTCAAATATTAAATTTATCATTGGTGGAAATTTAACCCATCTTCCTAGAACATTAGCTTGAGTCTTTGGATTACTGGTCCAGTGATCGTGTGTTTCTGATAAAGACAGTGGAGTTGGGTTTTACCCCCTTTTAGATCTATTTAAGGCTGAGATATATAAACTTGTGATAGACAAGGGAATCAAGGCTTATGAGGTTCAGATGCAGATGCGGAGCTGAGACCGCTACCAGATTAGCTATAATTGTATTGAATGGTGAAGCTGGTTGAAATAGCCTACTCCTGTCCACAAGTCCTCTATTCCTATGTTCTGCCTCAGTGCAGAATCCATCCTTCAAGTTGGAATGAACTATTGACACTGATCCAAACAGCCAAGCTGCTGTTGGCGTGATCAGCTTTTTACCAAGGCGGGGAGAAACAGTGACATTTTGTAGTGAGTCAACACATGGATCTTGGGCTGGAAGCTATTAAATCAGACTCTGGTGCAGTTGGTGCAGAGCCTTAGTGCTGGTCAATGAGTTTGCTTCTGAGACTCTGGAAATGGGAGTTACTCTCTTTTCCGTTGGACCACTAAGACCAACTCTGCCTCACCTGCAGCCTGCTCCCTCCCTGAGGTGCTTTTGTTGGGTTATAATTATTTGACCTCTTCGATCCATTGCCATTTGTTGTGCGGATTAGTCTTTCCAAAGTGAGTAAATGCCACTTTAGTGCATTCATATTCCAAGAGGTCTTGGAGATTCACTTCTTAGTCTGTGCTGACTCAAGCTCTCAGCTACTGTACAGAGTGTTATTGATAATCCCACTCTATGTGTGCATTTCAGTATCATTGTGACATCTTTGTATGAAAATAACACCTTGTGGGTGGCAGGGAGGTGTGAGGTGGGTAGGACAGGGACAGACATAAAAGTTGCCTGACGGTTGTAACCACGATCATGGCTACACCTGCACTATCACATTCCCCTCAGCATGCCTCCCTCTCATCCTGCTCACCTCTTACTCTTAATTCCCTCATCCATCCACCCGCTCCTATTGTTTTTGCTGCAATCATCTTAGTCTTACTTTGCTCGATCTCTTTCCTCAACTTTCCTCACTACGTTCCCTTACACCTTGATCTGGGCCATGCTGACCCGAGGTACTAGATTCTCCTGTGGATATCAGTTTGCCCTGGGGCTGAGGGAATGAGAGTGAACCTTGCCCA